TATATATATATATATATATAAATAATAATTTAAAGTAAAAAAATAGATAACTATAATCTAATTATTGTCAGAATTGCTTAAAATTAAGTTCCATTGACATTGATTTTAAGTACTAATTTAATTTTTTCGATAAAATTTTTTTCAGATTCAAAATTTATTTTTTTATTTTATAATGTGTTTTCTTATATTATTTTCTTAAGAAAAATTTCGTTTTTATATTTATTTTCCAAATTTTCTTTAATTTTCTTTAATTCAATATTTGGAGACAATTTTTAGTTTGTGTTATAAAAATATTATATTATCTAAATTCTATTATGTATCTTTATATTTTATTTTTATAATTTATAATTTGTATAATTAATTGTATAATTGTATAATTATAGTGGACTTAGTGCTCCATTTGGTCTCGGATATATGTCAAATGCAGGTTTTTTATTAGATAAAACAGATACCAATAATACTTTATCTGTGCTTGTTCCAATAATTTTTCATAATGAAAGAGCATTATGTGGATTACGAGGAGTATTTGGAACTGATGATATATCAATTATTGGACAATTATTGTATAGTATTATAATTCGTCAATTAAATATTTCTGAAGCTATTGAATATCCAAGGTATAAAATAGATTTTATTTTTTATAATATTAAATTAATATTAATTCTTAAATAAAAATTTTATGATTTTAGATATTATTTTTCATCAAATGGTCTTGCTATAGAAAATAATCAAAAACACTCTATAAATATATTAATACAAAATCAATTAAACTTAATAGTACCAATATCATATTTAGATACTGATATAGTAAAAAGCGTAAATGCAATCATAAAAAGAAAAGATCTAATGTCAAGTCATTCAGATAGTCGTGGAGGTGGTCTTGCATCAAGATTTTAATAAATTATTTATTTTTATCTTTTTTTTATTAAATATATTATATTTCTTTTTTTATTATATATATTTATATATATTAAAAATAATCATAAAATAAGATTTTTAACAAATCTTAATAAAAAATAAAATCTTAATAAAATATAATTGAATAAACTTTTCTAAAATAAAGAAAACAATGAATAATTTACTGTTTTTTTATTAAAATAATTAATTCTAATTTTATTTATATATATATAAAATATATAAAATTATATATAAATTTATATTTATATAAAAAACAATATAATATACAAAAAACAATTAAAATATACAATAAAATTTTAATATATTTATTTATATTTTTTTTATATTATTTATATTATTTATTTATATTTTGATTTGAATATGAAATGTTTAATATAACTAATTATAATTAATATAATTTTGATATATTTATATATGTATGTGTGTGTGTAAGTTTTCTAATATATTGAAATATGTTTATTTCATTTACATTTTGCATACTTGCAATTGTTGTTTTTCTTCTTTATATTTTTTACTTAAATCAAGTTGTCTTAATTTAGCATATATTGCACTAGCACTAAGCACAATAAAATTACTTATCCACCACATAAATGATTTTTTTTCATTAAACCAATAAGTTGCTAAAATTGTTTGTACACAAGCTTTAGCAGTTCCACTAATATTGTGAGTTAAAGGAGATGTAACTTTTATTTGAAGTGCTGTAGCATAACCAATAGCAAATCCACAAATACCACCAATAATCATAACTAACCAAAAATAAAAAGATCCAATTTTATCATAATTGTATACTATAATATGTTCTCCATTAAGTATTATTAATGGAAGAAATATAATGATACTATATGCATTATTACAATAAGAAAGTAACCAAATATCTTGATTTAATGTAGGAAGGACTTGTTTCATATGAATAGAATACAAAGAAAGAGTTAATGATCCTAATACACCAAAAATTGTTCCTAAAACAGATAAAGAACCAGCAACATGTTCTTGATCTACACCAAGCCAAAATCCAATAATAATAAATGCACAGCATGCAATACAATTTGTAGAAGTTTTTTGATCTGTAAAATTATAATAAATTATTACATAAATGTATACATAAACGTATATACATTTTTTTAATGTTTAAAAGATTCTTACCTAACATAAAATATGTAAAAATAACATTAAATACAGTTGTTAATGAACGTCCTATATAATAAAATGCAACATCAACATATTTTAAACACAAATTGTTTGTTGCAATCATTCCAATAAAAAGAAGAGACAATGGAAGTACCTATAAATGTATAGGTATATAAAAATAATAAAAATATAATTATTAATAAAAAACAATAGCATGTTTATATTCTTATAAAATTTTAACTTACCTTCTTAAGAGTTTCTTTAGTATATGGATTTCCACTAGGAAATTTAATATATCTTGGAAACCATTTTGATAAATTACTAAGAATTACACAAATATTTAAAGATATTATGCATTGACACCATGTTATAAAAAGAGGTGCATCCAAATTTATAGTATGACTGGATAAAAGAACTTTATTTATAAATACTGTTAATATAGAAATTATCCTAAAAATTATGAATTATATATGTTAGTAAAAAATAAACTATTAGTTTTTATTATCAAAAATCTAATAAAACATCTCATTAAAAAAACTAATTTATTTCAACTTACCAATATGTTGCAACTACAATTGCAATATATAAAAATTTTGATAATATTCCAGTTTCTAGAATCATTTTTTGAAATATTTATTTCAACATTCTTTTTTAATTAATAAAATTTAATATATCCTTATAATAAATAATAAATTAAATTATATTATATTATATAAAAATTAAAACAATAATATTGAATAATTAATAATTCTTTTTAAATTAAAATTTTTTTTCTAAATCATCCAAATTTTTATACTATATTTGTATACTTTTAATATATTATAATGATTTAATATTTTAAATAAATAACATTTTTTATAACATAAATATAACATATAAACTATTTTAATTTAAATAATTTAAATTCATAAATTTTTGTTAAATAGATTACAATTATGAGATAACATATATTTCATTAGTCTTAATTTTATCAATATTCTAGGTTATCTTAAAGAATTATCAGTATATTATATAAAAATTTTACAATTTACAATTGCAATTACTTTATAGTAATCATATTGTTTAAGCATCATTCAGCAAGTTTTTATAATCTATAATTTTATTTTCACAATCAAAATTTTTTATTTTTTATTTTTTAATTTAATGCCAATAATATAATCTCAAAAATAAATTATTTTTATAATATATATGACACATTTTCTATTTTACACATTCGTATTCATATTTTTTATTTTAATTATATATAAAAATCCAAATTAAAAGTTAAAAATTATATATTAATATATTTTTTCATATATTTTGCATAATTTATTGTATTTATAATGAAAAATATTTAAATATTTATATTTTTAATATTTATAAATTAAAAATTTTATTACTTTTAATTTAAAATATGCAAAAATATATTCGATATAATTTCTAATTTCATTTTTATATTATAAAAATAAATTTATATATTACAATAATAAATATTTTCTTTATATTATTTTAATTAAATCATATTATATCATAAAATAATATAAATTAAATTAACGTTTGATCAGCTTTTAATATACATTTTGATATAGTTATAAAATTTATATTTTAATGAATAGCAAATTATAACACAAAGTTGATATCATTACTGATACTTAGCACATAAATGTTGACACGTGGTGTCTAGTACTCGGGTGTTTTCGACTATAGTCGTAGCAATGAACAACCAAAATTAGTAAGTACTTGTATAGAATCATTTTCATCTTTTAAAAATATGTTTTGAATTATTTTCGTTTGTTTACTATTGCAAAATTTTTAATATTTACGGTGTCAATGTAATAATTGAAAGAATTATCATATAATGTATGTATTAAATACAATCTTGTATTCGATCGGTTAATTATCCTCATTAAATTATTTGATTTTAGTTTTTCTTGTTTTTATAAAACTAAGGTTTTAAAATATGTTTAATTTAGTGCTATTATATGATTATATATATATATATATATATATATATATATAAAACTATTAATGATATATTCAATGTAATTTCTAATTCCATTCAAAGACAACTTTTGCGTATTAATTAAATTATCGCTAATTTTCGTAATAATTGTATGTATAAATTTAATATAATCCATTATAATAAAGAATCGTGACCTATCTAAAATCTTATTATTTTAAAAAAATGATATTGTAATTAAATAATACAACGCTCGACAAAACTTTTTATTTTCATGAACATTGCTAATCTAAATATTTTATTATCGTATTATTTCTCTCATTTTATTTTAAATTGATTTTTACAATTAAATTGAATTATATTTATTATCGAAAAAATTTTATAATTAACATCAACAATAACAACAAATCTTTATTTAATATTATATCATTAATATTTGATATTAATTTTTTATTATTTTTAATATTTTTCTATTACATTATACTATTTACATTAAAAGAAAAACATATATATTAATATTAAATTATAATATTTTTATTTTAAAATAATTTGATACATTTTAGAAATTAATAATTATAATTCCACAATATGTCACAATACGAAGATGTCATTGTGGAAGACAAAAGGAAAGATGATAATGCAGTATCAGAAACAGAAATTCGACATAGAATTCCATGGAGTGAGCGTGTATTATTAAATAGCGAAGTACCAGGTTTACATGAGGTTAAGGAATTATTAGAAGATGATGATGCAAGTTGTTTAGCAGAAGAAGAAGATGGAGTTGGTTGTCCATTACCTTCCACTCCTGAAGATGATCATCTTTTGGATTGCGAGGTATTATAATTCTAATTATTATTAATAGTTATTTTATATTTTTACTTCAACAATAAATTACTTTATACTTTGCATATTTATACTTATTTATACTTTACATATTTTATTCTATTTATTTTACTTTATTTTATTTTATTATACTTTATTTTGTATTTTAATAATAAATTATTATGCATTAATTAAAATAAATATGATCATATTACATATTTTAATATATATATATTATAGATGACAGAAGTATTAAAAGCTGGTGTGTTAAGTGATGAAATTGATCTTGGTGCATTAGCTCATAATGCTGCAGAACAAGCAGAAGAATTTGTTCGTAAGGTAATTATAAAATATATAAAATTATATATATAAAAAATATATATATAAAATATATAAAATATATAAAATTATAAAATATATAATTAATATAAATAAAAAAATATATTTATATTTTTATTTTATAAATTAAGAAATTATTTTTCAAGGCATTACTGATTATTTTTTTATTATTATTATATACTATTATTCTTTTAAGGTTTGGGAAGCATCATGGAAGCAATGTCATTTCAGAAATCTTCCAAAGTGGTTACAAGATAATGATTTCTTACATGCTGGCCATAGGCCACCTTTACCATCTTTTTATGCTTGTTTCAAAAGTATATTTCGTATTCATACAGAAACTGGAAATATTTGGACTCATTTACTTGGTGAAATTTAATTTTTATTTTTAATGATTTTTTTTTTTTTTTTAGCATTTTTCTAACAGATTAATATTTTATTCTTTTTATAGGATGCATGGCATTTATTGGTATAGCTATATTCTTCATAACACAACCTCCTATAGAAATACAATTGGAAGAAAAATTGGTATTCGGTACCTTTTTTGCTGGTGCTATTATATGTTTAGGAATGTCATTTGCCTTTCATACTGTACACTGCCATAGCGAATGTGTTGGAAAATTATTTTCGAAATTAGATTATTGTGGAATAGCTATGTTAATTATGGGTAGTTTTGTACCATGGCTTTACTATGGTTTTTACTGTGATTATCAACCTAAACTTATTTATTTATCAGTGGTTGTAATACTTGGTGTAACAAGTATAGTTGTATCGTTCTGGGAACGATTTGGTGAACCAAGTTATAGACCATTAAGAGCAGGTGTTTTTATGGGATTTGGTCTTAGTGGGGTAAGTTATACCATACTATATTATATTATATTATATTATATTATATTATATTATATTATATTATATAATCTTGTATCAAAAAACATTAAAATTTTAAGAAGAAGAATAGATTGTGTTAAATAATACATAATTATTGAGATATTATATATTTTTTTTTAGGTAATACCAGCAGTTCATTATGCCATTGCAGAGGGTTGGTTTAAAGCAATTAGTCAAGCATCTCTTGGATGGTTAATATTAATGGGATGTTTATATATCTTAGGTGCAATGTTTTATGCATTAAGAGTACCTGAACGATTTTTCCCTGGCAAGTTTGATATTTGGGTAAATATTTTTATATTTTTGAAATATATAATTATTTGAAAAATGTTTAAATTATCATATTATTCAGTTTCAGAGTCATCAAATCTTCCATGTGTTAGTAATTGCAGCAGCTTTTGTTCATTATCATGGAATAACAGAAATGGCTATGTACAGAATGACAATAGGAGATTGTACAAATCCATCGCAGGTGATAGCTTTTTAATTATGCAATGGATATATAATATTGTGTTGGATTTCATCTTATGTACCTTTATCAAGACTTAAAAAGATTCCTAAATCTTTGTGTATCGGTAGATCTATACTATAAAAGAACTGCTGGAAACAATGAAAATGAACAACACAAGATTTTCCTTCTAATTTATTGTAATTAATCAAGAATTTTAAAAAAAATTTATAAATATTTAATAAATTCACAATAAAATACAATATGTGATAATTAAGATTACTAACAATAAATTCAAAAGTTTAATTAAATAAAACTTTTTACACTTTCGTAAATTTGAATTTATGGAAAATATAATTAACTTTGTATTGTATATTAAGCTCAATATTTAAAATATTTCAATCATTCATAAAAAATTTCAGTGATACAAAGTAACAAATAACATAACTATTTACTTATACTTGTTATTTTTTCTTTTGTGAATGATTTATTTAAATAATGTAATTTATGTAATAATTTTATTGTATAAAAAATGAATATAAAATTACAAATATCATTTTATTTACTAATAATGATGTGATTAATAATGAACTGATATCTTGTTTCGCGCAGTTCTCTTATTTGTTAAAAACAAATTAATGAAAAAAACAATTGTAAAATATGAAACAAAATGCAGATATATGGTAACAAACAAAATTTAATATAATTAAGATTTAGGAAATAATTGCAAATACAAATGATTTTATAGTATAAGCACTATAAAAGTTGTAATATATTTTGAACACTGTTAAAACAATGAAAACTATTTATTATAATGATTATGTGAAAAATTCAACTTTTTTTTTAATTACATTTGAACAGAGAAAGTAAAATACTGATTTTTTTTCAATGTCTATATCTAAAAAGTTTATGTATTATAATTTGTCTTGAAATTTCCTATATTGAATGCAAGATCTTCATTTTCGAATATTAGTAAAATAATTTTTATTAATACTTTTCCTTGTTATATATTTATAATTTTTATTCTTTTTTTATCATGCAAACTTATGTTTGTTGTAAAATACATGTTTCATTACAGATCTGTTTTTTTAGTACAAAAAGTGTTAAATATTTTTGTTATTATTATAAGATAGTACTTATATAAAAAAATATTGTTGAACTTTTTACGTAAATAATTCATACTATTGGTAAATTAATAAAGAAGGAAATTTATGAATTTCATATGTAAAAACACAATTATCTTATTTTATGTAATTTCCCAAAAATATATTTTTCTAAATAAATATTGTAGTATCATTTGTGAATTATTTAAATGTATTAAAAATGTTTTTATTCATTATAATAAATCGAAATTTAAATATAAAGATAGAATTTAAAAATAACTAATTAAAAAGAAGTTAAAAAAGAATTTATTTCAATAATTAAACATCAATAATAAATCTAGATGATTAAAACTAAGAAACTAAATTTATGTTTCAATGACATATAATTTAATTTTATTAAAATGTAAATATTTTTAGCAAATAACAAAATTGTTATTGATTAATTAATTAATTCATCTACTTATTTATTTTTTATTAATATATTTAATAAAAATGCAATTTTTTTTACTTATAGTTAAATTTAAAAATTCTAATTATTTTTTATATATTATATTTTTTTATATTATTTATTTTTTTATATTTTTTGTACAAAATAATATTTACATAAACTATTTACGAATTTAAAATAAATAATTATATAATAAATTTTATAATAAATGTACTGTATATCTTATATAAAATAATATTCTTATTTATTAAGAATTATATGAATATAAATTATTAATTTATTTTCAATTTAAAAGATAAAAATTGATATTTCTCAATGTAACATTATGTGTTATAATAAACACATTAACAAATAACTTAAAAAGTATATAATATGTATTAATATTTTTATTAATCATTTTTTATTTTTATTCATACCTAAGATATTAAAATCGATATAAAAAATATCTCGATAAGAAATCGATAAATAATACGTTTCAGTTCAGAATAGTTCGATAGTTTAATATATGTTTCATATATAGTGTATTTATGTGAAAAAGCCGCATTGCGATATTAAAATGAAATGTTAAAACTAAAAAGAAAGACATAATCAAATTTCTCTTTGTGTAAAGAATGAATATCATGTCCCTAATTAAACTATGGTCTATTTGCAAAATTAATAAATCGAACAAAAAATATTTATTTCAACAATTCAATTATAAAAAAAATGAAAATATATTGTATTTTGTAAATATTTTAATATTTTTATCAGTGTGTTGCAAATAATCAATAAATTTTTAATAAATAAAAAAGATTTTAAAAAAACGTGCACAAAAATTAAATTGCGACATTTCAATGGAGCAAATTTTTTATTACATTATTTTATAAATATTATAATACGATCATCATCAAGATGCATTATTTATTCATTTACGAACTCAAATCGATAAATATGGTTTTTATTTTAGACGATTTATAATTTATAATTACAAATATGTGAGATAAAGTGATATACTTGTACATGTCCATTTAAAGTATATAGAACCATAGTGTTTCATGTAATGATATATTAATGTATTGATAATAACGTATTTACTGTTATGCTTCTTATTTGTTTTTTGTATAACAAAATAGACAAGTGATAATAGAATCAAATATATCATTGTATATTTTAAAAAAGTTTAATTTCTAACATAAATAATGTACATATTAATGAATTTTTTTAAAATATATATAGAATTATTCTCATGAAAAGTCAAATATTGTTTTCTAATTAATAACAATGAATGAGATGAATACAAGTGTTACAAATTCAATAACATCTGGCATGTTGCTTGATAATGTTCAAAATTATACTAATACAATGACAAATGCATCAAATGAAATATCTGAAACATATATGAATTCTACAGAAGAAAATGGAAATATTCAATTATGGAATGTTTCTAAGACCATAACGTCATTGCCCAATAGTACAGTAATTTCCTTTGAAGCTTCAAGTACCAATATATATGTATCTACAACAACAGAAATTTTTGATGAATTTGGACCTCCAGATGGAATAGAATACATTTTTGTACCACTTGGTGTAGTGGTCTTTGTTATTATATTATCAGCTGTGGTATGGGTAGCGATATCACTTTTGTATTTAAATTATAATCTTCTTTTAACTTCTATTTGCAGAAACAAAAAAATAAAATAAAAAATATTCATCAAATTATAATACTTGGATAAATATTTCTTTAGGTATTATTACCTTTTTGTAATATAGTTTATTGGCAAATTAATGTTGTAATATTATATTTAAAGTTTTGTTAGTTTGTAGCTTCTCCTATTAGTAAAATCCTAAAAGTAAAATCTTTTACTATTAAATATTAATTTATTTTATAATATTTAACAAAATGCAAATATTTTAATAATATATTATGGTTTTAAAGGTAATAATTATATCAAGGAAAAGAAAATTGGAACGTTTAAGACACAGACTTATGCCAATGTATAATTTTGATCCTGGTGAAGAAGAAGAAGATGATTGGGAAACTGAATTATTAGAAGAATGTTACAATAATCATCAGAGACGTGTATGTGTAAGAATTATAATGTTTAAATTAATAAATATTTTATTAAAATTAAAATATTTTACATTACAGCAAGGATATCAATCTATGGATACAGAAGAAAGTGCTGAACTCTTTGGAAATCATTGACAAAGCATTTATAATAGTTTAAAAACTTTGTATTACTTACAATTGTCTTAGATTAAAAATCACATTTAGTAGATTTCTATATTTATTTAATGAAATAGTTTGTACATATCTTTCAATTTAAAAGATAAAATTCAAATTCATAAATTTTATATGTGAAAAAATATTTCAAAAAAATTTAAACATTAGAATTTAAATATATTTCTAGAATTGTGATAATGGATTAGGATTTATTTTATTTATTTTAATATAATATCCATAAAATGAATTTATGCTTAATTTAATAATTTCATAATAGAGAAGTAAAAAACAAAAATGATGGAGACTTCATTTTGTCATTTATAATCATTGTATTCTGTTTATAACAGTTTTTATTTTATTATTTATATTCATTGTATTCTGTTTATAACAGTTTTTTATTTTATTATTTATATTCATTGTATTTTGTTTATAACAGTTTTTTATTTTATTATTTATATTCATTGTATTCTGTTTATAACAGTTTTTCATAAATGTACAATTTTTCCTATATGCTTAAATCTTACTTATGTATATTTTTTTTTTTATATCCTTTCCTAAAGATATAAATGTTAATGAAATAAAATGTAGATTGTCAAAAATTTTAATATTATAATGAGAAATTTAAATTTTATTCTATTTATTTTTAATATTGAAAGATTCTAATGAATAAGAAAAAAATAGATATTTAATGTTCAACATAAAGAAACAAATATATTTCCACATATTACCAACAATTTTGTTTCTATTAATTAATAATTATACATAAATCTATACATTATAATATTAATTTTCTTTTCTCTAACTGTTTATTAAGCAATATTGAAAAATTAAGAAATTTCAAAATGCATTTGTCTTTCATGCAAAATATCTTTTTAGCAATAATGTATAAAAATTTTAAAAGTATAACAATTTTGGTGTAGAAAATATATCGCAGGTATATGTTTGTGTCATATAACAATTAATAAGAGAATCATTTTATAAGTTTATTTATTTCAATACAAATTTGACATTCACACATATGCTTGTTTCAAAAATGTTAATGTTCACTTGTTTAATTAAAAAAGAACATTTCTTGTACATGATATACTTACACAAGAAGTATTACAGTACAGCATTAAATTTGTATGAAGTTTTAGACTTTAAGAATTATAATACATATACATAGGAGCAAAGAAGGTAACAAATATATGATGTAATTATACACCATCCACCTTAAAGTTAGATAAAGTCTTCATCTTAATTCCAAGTTAGTTTATGAGATCTGAATTTTTAGTTTAAAATTTTTTTCATTAAAATACTTGTACATTTTATTTTAATACTTAAAACATAATGATTATGATAATAATACAAATAAAAATAATACTAATAATAATTATTATATTAATAGTAATTATAATAAAAACATATAAGGTAAATACTACAAAGTGCTTTACATATTCTCAACCCATGTTGCAGTGCATTTTTTTTGCAAACATATCACAAATTATATTTTTCATATAACTTCCTTGGAATTTGAGCAGTTTTTTTTAAACTAATGTGTTACCACTTTACTATTTCAATTTGCAGATTATGATATAAAAAGCAAACTTATAAGTTTTAAATTTATCAGTTTTTTAAAAACTTTCAAAGAATAATTCTCATACATTGAATTTATTTTTTTACATTTAATTATCTTCCTCCTCTTCTTCCTCTTCTTCCTGTTCATCTTCTTCTTCTCCAGTACTTTCTAATTTCTCTTCTTTCTTTTTAGGTCTACCACGACCTCGTCCTGAAGGGTTTCCTTTAGGTGAACCTTGCTATAATAACATTTTTTAACTTTTTATATATTATAAAAAAAATAAATAAAACTTTTTTTTTAATACTTTCTAAAATTAAAATATAATAAAAAAAGTGGTAACATTTATTAACAATTTTTATAAATGATTGTTATTTCCAGATAACATTATTATGAGTTCCATAATACTATTTATATGAATAATTTAATTTAAAAGAAAAATATATATACCTTTTTTTTATGAGAACCTTTTGGTCGCCCTCTTCCTTTTTTAACAGGTACAGGCGATGTATCATCTTCATTATCTGATTTTGCAGTGCGTACTGCATTATTTTTATCTGCGGCAGGTCTGCCTCTCTTTTTTGGTTCTTTAACAGTATTCTTATCTGTTTTTGCTGGTCTACCTCGTTTCTTCTTTTGTTCCTCGACAACAGGCGAATTGTCGTCTGACATTTTTAATTCTTTATATCACTGTATAATTAAAAATTTTGTTTACAATATAAACATTAATTCAAAAGTTTTTAGTTATATATATGTGTGTAGTAATTTTATAATTATTAACTTTTAATGCAAAATTTGATAGATTAATTTCGAAGGAAAATACAAAGATGAACGAAAACGAATTTACGTCAAAAGGCTCTGTACTCTTAATTTATTATATACATATATTTTTTACAAATAAATATGTAATATTTATATTTATATTTTATCATAAAATTTAATATTATGTTACCACACACTTTGAAATAAAATATTCAAAAATTTTATATTGAAAATATAAAAAGTTCCATATAGGGAAATATAGAAAGTTTTGTATAATTATCGATTTTTAAAATTTCTCATAAAATTTATTTAATTCAAAATTTTTTAATTCAAACAGCAATTTGATAACCATGTATATATAGATTTTACTATAAATAAGTAAAAAATGAGCAATAGTAAAGTTTAACAAATTACGCGCCTAATACATTCATATCGAACATCATTAGGTGGCGGTTTTGTAACCGGTTAATTGTAACCGAATAAAATAATTATGCAAAATTAATTATATCTAATATTTTAATAATCTCATACATAAATTAAAAGTAATTTTTTCTTACAAAAGAATAATAATAATAATAATAAATTATTATCATTATTAATTTAGAAAAAAAATTATTTACAACAATAAATGAGAGCTTTCTGAAATGTCCGCGCCCGCCATTTTCAAATATATTAAACAACCTATATATTATTAATTTCTTCATATATATAATTTTGGACAAGTTACACAATAATAACGGAAGTGACAATTTTTAATATTTTTTTATATGAAGAAAAAATAACTGTATGGAAAACCGCTATTTGGAACACATACAATAGCGTCACTTGGCTGCTAGGGACGCCATGATCGACAAATCATGGCAACACCAGAGTCGTGGTAGCGTCCATCACCAATTTCTTTATAAGAAAATGAATAAATATCTCTGTAAGTAATAATTGGTTCCGCGTAAAAGATTGACTAAAAAATCGTTGAAAAAATCATTTATGAGTTTCTTAATCTTTCAACACAATGAATACGTATACCATTCGAAAGACTAATATTTACTGGAGAAAAAGTCATTGACAAGCACTCACCTCAAAATTTCTCGTGTATATGAAGACAAAGGCAATCGTTCAGTCGGCGCGCGCGTCGTACTGTAAGAAAATGGGACTAAGTGCTTTTCTATATACGTTATATATTAAAATGTTTAATATTCTTTTATGAATGTCCAGAACGCAAGTTATCTAATTTTTCTTTTCTCAGCGTCCTTTTAATACTATCGCGCGCGTCGACTGCACGAAGCAAACTCTGAAAGCACCTTGTAACGCAACAACTCACAATTCACTGCGCGAATAGCGAGACGCGACTGACCTGATCGAGATGATACACTGTACTCCGATTCGTTCTCTATCTCAAGAAGCATTCCCCCACTCTTTACACAACACGCCAACTGATTCCCGCCAAAATGTTATGATACTACTTAAAGTCACAATTTTTCATAAATCGTATTTATCTTAATTTCTTATTATTTATTATAAAAAGAATTTTTTAATGTTAAAAACTTATTAATTATTTTCTTGTTTTATAAAATATCAAAAAATTTATATAAATAATAATATTTATGAAAGTTATAAGATCTGTTATTTGGCGGGAATATAATTACAATATATAATAAAAGAATATTGTGTATATTAATTTCGTATCTTAATTTAAATTACTATTAATTTATAGATACAATCATAAAATTATTATATATAAATTTTTTTATATTTGAGAAAATTATTACTTAAAAATTTTCTTACGATACATTATAACATTAATATTTATCTATATTTTTAAAAATATGTAATTTTTATTTTTATACTTTAAAACAATATTTTCAATAATGTTAATTATGTATATCTTTTAATAATGCTAATTATACATATTTTTAATAAATAATAATATATATAAAAATATATATAAATATATATAAAAAATCTAATATAAAAAAAAATTAAGTGAAAATTAATAATTAATATGCAAGATAGAAACTAAAAATTTAAATTATTATAGTAACTTTTTAAATTAATTTATATTATATGGAAAAATAAATTTTTATAGGTTTTTAAATTATTATCAAATTAAATTAAAAGTAATTTTATGTAACTAAAATATTGCTGAAAAAATGACATATATTTTTTAATTACTATTTACAGTGAGAAGTTTGATTTATATGTATACATTATGTAAAATTTTGTACACATGTGATTCTTGAATTTATATAGCATATTTTTAACTTATATTTATAAATTTTCGTCCGAAAAATTTTTAATTACATTTGTATTTTGTATTTTTATAAATTTCTAAATAAGATTATTTCAACACGCACACATTTTTCCATTTGTTAACAATATTTTTATACAAACCATACTATACTTTATTTTTTTGCAAATGATATTTTCATTGCATGAGAAGGTGTAATTTTAAATCCTTGTAAAGCATCTTTTGCAGCTCCTGATTGTACTTCATTCTCAAATTCAACAAATGCAATATCATGTCTATTTGGTACTAAACGTACTTCTTTAAAACCAGGAAACTGATTAAAAAGCATTGATAACATCATTTCACTGGTTTCATCTGGTAGATTTGTTAGGAATAGAATTTGATTTGGTGGTTGTTCAGGTACAGCTGTATTGACTAAACCTGGATGTTGTTGTACACCAGTATGATAACCAATTTGCTGTGAATGTTTAGCTTGTTCTTTAGCACGTTTCTTAGCACGTTTAGCTTCTTCATCAGCTGCAGGTACAACTCGTTTTGGTTTTTTAGGCCGTTCTGCATATGTGCCTTTCATTTTTGCAATAATATCACTGTCTGTTTTTGCATATTGTATCCTCTAAAATAAAATTAATTATAACAATATAACGTTTTATTACTTAATTAATAAAAAGTTATTTTATGATTAACATTCACCATTGGTTTGTCATAAAATGGGAATCCTTGCATTGATCGTAAAGCATTTGTGGCACTAGCAATTTCCTTAAAAATAACAAATGCTTGTCCACGCATTTTTAATGTTTTTAAAGCTACAATATCCAATATTTGACCAAATTGAGAAAAAATTGCATATAAGGATTTTTTTAATTCATCCTTTTTTATTTTTTCGTTTAAATTATTAATATAAATTGTATTATTTGGCCTAATATCCATTGCTATTGTAAATGAAAAAATTTTTTAATATAAAAAATACTTTTAACATTTTCATAAATAAATATTAATAATTAGAAATTATTATAATTATATAAATTCTATACAATATAAAATCGATATAATAATAAAACTAAATAAACTTACTCAAATAATTTTTAAAAACAATGATATAATTATTATATTATATTTAATAGTACTTTTTGTGTACTAAACAATTGTATTTAGTCGGCGTCTTACGCTTATAGAGGTTAGAGTACAATGAAGTATAACAATGAGCTATATAAATGTAGAGTGGAAACTTAATATTAAAAACATCATATATTAAATTCATGTTAAATTATAATTCAAAATTTCTAATTATTTGATTTAAATTTATATTTACTATATTTATAATTATTATGTTGATATATAAATATTGCAACTTAAGAATGTTATTTTTATATTTAAGAAAATATTATAAATTAGCTATAGTACATTTAGAATAACATAAAATAATAACATTCATCAAAACATGTTTTCCTTAAAAAAAAAGTAAAATCGTATAAAATGTAATATAATAGATAAAAATCGTATAAAATATATTATTGATATTAAATAATCTAAAGTTACTTAATAAAATACTTAATAAAATTACTTAATAAAATTATTATTCAATTAAATATAATTATAAAGAAAAATGTATTTTTATAATAGAAATAATAATATTTAATATAAAATATTTAATCAAATTATTTATTATATAAAAAGTAAGTAGCATTATTTATATTAATTAAGTATATTATTTTCAGGAGTATGAATGCTAAGCCATTCAAAAATGGAAAAGGTGTAAATAAACCTTTTCGTTCTCCATTTAGTACACCTCAAAGTAATGATAATATAAATATTTCAAAATTAAACACATATGAAACACCATCGTAAGTATAATTATAATAAAAAAAAAAGTTATTACATTTACATTTTTGAAATTTGAGAATAATATTCTCATTAATTTTCATTATTAGAAAAGTATCCATAGCAAAAAGACTAATTTATCAAAAAACACCTTCTCCTAAAAAATTATGTATAAATAAAGAAAATAATAATAAACAAACAGATATTAAAGTAAAAAATAAATTATATCAAATAAACTTGGAATTATTAAAGAAAAAAATACAAGAAAAAGAAGAATCTATTAAAATTTTAAAAACTACATTATTATATAAGAAAAAGGTAAAAGATAATATTAATTATATTTAAAACTTATTTATTATATTAAATATTAATAATTTAAATATTTGTAATTAAAGAACAAAGCTGAAAATTTAGAAAGTGTTATAAAAAAATGGATAACATGTTGTCAAAATGCTCTTATTGATTATCAGAAATGTTTGCAAGAAAAAAATGATCAACCAGTAAAATTATCTGAAATTTTATCTTCATTTAATATTAATCCTGATATAGTTTGTTTCTCTATTGATGATGATACATTTTATTAATTGAATAAATATCAAAGAAAACATAATATATAATATTATTTTACTTGTTTTTATATTTTTATAATACATATATATTTATATATATATTTAATTTAATTTGTATTTCATATTTAATACTTATGTGCTTTAAATGGAAAATTAGGATCAAATAACATTGGATCATTACAAAATTTAGGATCCTTAGTCATATAACCCATTAAACCTAAAATATAAAAATAATGAAATATTATAAAATATTATAAAATACATATAAACAATAAATATAACTAATATTATTACCAGCATGTTGTGCTTTTATTATTTCTTGTTCTACTTTCTTCTGTTTGTATTCACACAATCCAGTTATGTGTTTTTCATAAATTCTACCTGTATAACGACTTTGAAATTGAGATAATAAACGTACATTTTTATAATCAGGTTCGATGTTTAATTTACATAAAATACATAATTGCTGCTTCTTTTTATATGGATTTTCAATCGAAATTGGCTGCATCAAAAAATAATATAAATTTTTATTTTTCTGTACAACTTTCAAAAAACATAATATTTATAATAATTTATTACCATATCTGGATCTACTAGATCTGTTAATTCATTTGAAGCACATGCCTTAGTTTTGTTACGAAATAATAATATTGGAATTTTGTTTGTTGTATATCTTAAAGTTTGTAAATTAATAAAAGTATACATAATTTTTTATATATTTTGTAATGAATTTATTTACTTTTATTATAAATTACTTTTATTAAAAAGTATTATAATTATTATAAAAAATATATATAATATATATATATTTACTTTTATTGTAAAGTAATAATCATTAAAAATATATTTGAAATAGAATTGATGCTTCAGAATATTTTGAAGTTTGATTTTTAGTGAAATTTTGTTTAGTTCATATAGTATTCAATAGAGAGCATTATTGTGCAGAAACTTGATTTCTTACTTATAGTATAATAATCAATGATTTAAGTTACTAAACGGATTTCGTTACCGTTGAAGTCTGTATCACTCTTTTCGTATTAGTCGGAGACGAGAGTCGTACTTTTGTCCAATAACTTAAACTAATATAATTATTGTATAAAAATTGTTATCAATTGATAGTGGATGCAAGTGAAGTGATAGATACAAAATGTGGCCCTCAATATTGGATGCAGCTAAAATGAATCCATTTGGGACACCGTTCGTGACAACTACATGTCAGAGACAAAATGAACTAACACAAGCACTGGTTAAGAATCGTCACATTGCCGCTGCCTCTGTCGCATCAGGCGGTCAGTAATTTGCAAGTAATTTGATATAATTTAATTAATTTAATTGACTTTAATTCATGATTTTTTATAAAAAAATTATTCAATATTATATATAAATTATTGACATTTGCTTAAATAATTAAAAATTTTTTTTTTTGATCAAAAAAATTAATCGTATTTCAAAAAATTTTCAAATATTATATAATCTAAAATATTATTTCTAGTATTCTTTATAATTTTTTATAATCTTATTAATATTAATTGATTATTTTGATTAATTTATAAGAATTAATGTTTAAAATTATTTATTTTCTAAAAAATTTAAATATTAATAAAATTGTAATTTCATGATAAATAATTATTTTATTATAATTATAATTTGTTTAATTTAATTATATCAAATTATGTAACGAATATAGATTTGACCGCATGGCATATAATTATGTGCTAAGAAAGCATTTTATATGTATTTATTCGGCTTCAATGTATTTTTCAATAAAATTATTGCATTTTTAGTACAGTTATTAATACAAAATATTTTAAAATGGATCAATGAAGAATTTTTTATGTTTGATTTGTAATATAAAGGATTGCATAAGAAGTAGCCATTTTGTCGAAAATTGCGCATGCGAATGTCGTCGTCGTAGCCTTGGTTAACATTTGAATAAAAATAATAGCCTGCATTAGTACAGTGGCCGCAACCGAGAAATAATTAAAGATATCTTACTGTACTTGAAAAGTTTATTATTAGGTTAAGCCAAAATAATAAGATCATTCATAATTTTGAAATTCTGCCAAATTCGAATTTTGCATGCACTTTTGAACAGCTGATCAATGATAATTTTTATTGTTTATTAAATAAAAGTTATATGATATAATATATTGACTAATAAATTAAATTCAGTTTATAAATATTATTTTGAAAATTATTCATTAAAATTATTTGAAAAATGTTTTTAATAAATGGATTATATTTATAAATAATTATTGACAAATTTATCATTCATACTAAACATAGTTTAAACATTAAATATAGTTTGTTTAAATATACTTGAGATATTTAGTATTAATATGTAGTATTTATGTTATATAAATTAATATATAGATTATAAATTCTTTTTTATGTATAGATAGCTGTGAATTTGGATCAAATAAGTACTTCATGCTATGTGGTTTGGGAGGTATTTTGTCTTGTGGTATTACACATACTTTGGTTACTCCCTTGGATTTAGTAAAATGTCGTATTCAAGTAAATCCTGCAAAATACAAATCAGTTTTTAATGGATTCCGAGTGAGCAATCTATTTTTAATTATATTTTATAAATATGAACAAAATATAAGTATAACTAATAGCATAAATAATATATATAATTAAAACTAACTAATTTCAAATATTTTATTATTTAGGTAACTTTGGCGGAAGATGGAACTCGAGGTTTGGTTAAAGGATGGGCTCCAACATTCTTTGGTTATTCCATCCAAGGAATGTTTAAATTTGGACTTTATGAAGTCTTTAAAGTATATTACTCGGCTCTTGCTGGAGAAGAAATGGCATATGAATTTAGGACATCTTTGTATTTAATTTCTTCAGCATCTGCAGAATTTTTTGCTGATATTGGTTTAGCTCCTCTTGAAGCTGCTAAAGTAATTATAAATTATTTTTATATTTAATAATTAATATAATTTTCTTAATATTTTTTTTAAGAAAAGGAGTTAAATCAATATATTATGTCTTTTATGACATAAAAATAATCCATGTTTACATTATTTATGTATTTTTATAGTTAGTTTTATAAATAAGATAGAATTGTTTTTTTGTTCTTTTTCATTATTCTTTATCTTTTAATTCTCATTTTTGCCTCATCATCATGTTCAATATCATATTTATTGCAAGTTTTATTAAACAATTATTGTGAAAAATTAAATTAAAATTAAAATATGTATTATGTATATAATATATGAAGTTTATTATTTTTGCAGGTTAAAATTCAAACTACACCAGGATTTGCAAATACTTTGAGAGAAGCTATGCCAAAGATATATGCAGAAGAAGGCATTACTGGGTTCTATAAAGGACTTGTACCTTTATGGCTTCGTCAAATTCCATATACAATGATGAAGTTCGCTTGTTTTGAACGTACACTTGAACTTTTATACAAATATGTAGTTCCTAAACCAAGACAAGAGTGTTCAAAAGGTGAACAGTTGGTTGTTACCTTTGCTGCAGGATATATTGCCGGTGTATTTTGTGCAATTGTATCTCATCCTGCTGATTCTGTGAGTGTATTATATGATGCATATTTATTTTTACTTTATTTATTTTATTCATTTAATGTTGTTAATGCAATATATATATATATATATATATATTTCAAATATTTGTAGGTTGTATCAAAATTGAATCAAGAAAAGGGAGCATCAGCTGTTGATGTTTTAAGGAAACTTGGTTTTGGTGGAGTATGGAAAGGTCTTGGTCCTCGAATTGTTATGATTGGTACATTAACAGCAGCACAATGGTTTATTTACGATGCAGTAAAAGTATGGCTTCGTATGCCCCGCCCACCCCCACCAGAAATGCCAGAATCTCTTAAGAAGAAATATGGACTAGCTTAATTATCAAGCATCAATATTTTTAATTGAATCAATTACAGTTAGAGAAAAAGAACATAGATAAATTACATTATTTCTTCAGTACATTGTCGAACAATGTTTTATTATACGTCAAGTATTTATTTGTAATACTGATATCAGTGCAGGTCATCACTGCCTATAAATTAGATACAATAATGTGCTACGAATCATAGTAATTTGCTATCAATGCTGAGATTATAAAAGAGATGGCACATTTATAAAAATCCGATACAGTGACAGTGAGTTACCTATTGTAACCAAAAACTGTTACTTTGTATATAGAGCGATCACCATAAATAAATGATTCGTGATTGCTCAATTAATATTTGATTTTGATTATCCCTTTTCTTATATATCCTTATGTTAAGAGAATTACACTAAAATATTATGCATTAATTATTTTTTATTTTATTAAAATCATTCAAATATAATCTATATAATTATATACAAATCTTATATAAAGATAAATAATCTATGAAAAAAAAAATATATATATACATTTTATATATATATGTATGTATACATATGTATATATGTATATACAATTTATGCTTAATGCAATTGTATATACACATAATATAAATAAAATATATTAACTATAATTATGAAGTAATAATCAAAAAAATGTATTTTAATCTAAATATTTTTGTTTTTTATGTAAAAATATATTTTTTTTTTGTTTTAATACGTTTGTTCTTTGGCTTTATTAATTCAATAAAATTATAAGACTTATTTAATATTTAAACATAATATTTAATAAGATAGAATTTAATGATATAAAGTATTGTCACATATGTCTTCAAAAAAACTTCAACATCTTTTACAAAACTAAAATAAACTATTAATAAGTTATTAACAAATAAGTACTAATTCTTCAACACCAAAAAAAATATTTGCTTATTTCATAGAAATATCTATTTTAAGTATTACAATTTTAAAAATATATATAGTTTGAATTTTCTAATAACAGAGATAATAATATAGAAATATCAAAGCAAAAAATAGTTTTAAATATATTTTTCCACAAATTTTGTAGTATCAATTGATTTGATTTAATGAATTGATTTAATTATATGTTTATAAACATAATATAATTTTTAATATATTAAATAATATTAATAATATATTAATTAATATATACAATTTATCAATTTATCAAAAAAAAAAAGATAAATTATACATATTATCTTGAATAAAGTTCTTTTTCTAAGTACGTTTTGGCATCCTGTATTGTGGCAAAAATCTTAAATGTAAGTGTTCCATGTAAATACAAATCACATTTTCTGATTGTTTCAAAAATAGGACTTGTACAACTTACAAAATAAAAATGTATATCAATTTGTTGAAATTCTTTCATTACTGAATTTAGTGTAATTACACCACTAGAATCAATATAACTTAATGCGCTCATATCCATTATTATACATTGTAATTCTTGTTTTTCTTCCGAATCTTCTGTATTCATATATATTCCTTTTTCTCTTAACTTAATCTTATGCTCTATAATTTTTTTTGGATTTATTCCAATTAATTTATATAATTCTGATTTAAAATGATTAATATTTGCAAAATTCAAAGTTCCACAATAATGAAAAATTTTTATTCCAGGAATTTCTACTGCCTAAAAATAATTCAAATATATTAATATTTTATGTAAAAAATCATGATTTTTTATTATAAAAATATTATTAGTCATAAAAAATAATAAATACTGCTTTAAATCTACTCATATCCAAATATAAATCTGTATTTGGTATATATCCCAATAAACAAATGTAAGGTCTAACACTTTGCAATAAAATAATTGCAAGTGATATTATTATTCCAGTTAGCAAACCAATATCGATACTTATTATTACAACTGTCAAGAAAGTTGAAATCCAAATCAATGCATCACATTTACTTAATTTCCAAAATTTTATAAGTTGATTAGCTTGTTGAAACATTCCCTTTAAGGCTACCTAAAAAGAGATTTATATATTATATTAATAAATTAATATTCATTATAAAAAATTATATATAAAAATATATAATTATTTTAATAATTTATAATTATTATATAATTATTTATATAATTTATAATTATAACAATATTAATATTTTAAAGCACTTATACTTACAATAATAATTGATGCAAGAACAGATCTTGGTAAAGGTTCAAAAAATGGGCCAATCCATAAAAGAATTATAAGTAATACTGTACATGATATAACACTAGCTATTTGTGTTCGACCACCAACAGTTTGTTGAATTAATGATCTACTTAAAGATGCTGATACTGGCATACATGAAAAAAAGGATCCTACTACATTACTCAAACCCTAAAATTATATTTTATAAATATACATGATATTTTAAAAATAATACTAAATAATTTACCATAATTACCATAGCAAGAAGTTCTTGATTTGAATTAATTTTATAATTAAGTTTTTGTGCAAATATTAAAGCCATTGATATGGTAATAGTATAAGATACCATGGTTATAGCAATACTATCCATTGCTACCAAATGTAATAGATTAAACGTTGGAATTGTTGGAACTGGTAATCTATTAATTAAAAAGATTAAAAAACTTGAATTATATTTATGAAAAATAATTAAATTTACATACCCTGTAGGAATATTGCCCACAACTTGAATATTATATTTAGTAGAGAAACAAAAATATTTTGAAATTAAAGTACCACTCACAACTGCAATCAACTCAATTGGAATTGGAATGCTACATTTTTTACTTATCCATGGCTAAAATTAAAATAGCTATTTAAATTATATGATTTATAGGATTTATAGGATATAATTATATAGGATATAATTATATAGGATATAATTATAGGATTATTAAATTATATAAAGATTTTTACAATAATTTTCTAATAAAAATTACCTTTAAAAATTCATTATTACTTATAAGACCAACAATAGTTATTAATGATATAAATACAGCAGTTAAATTTGTATTTTGTATTTCTTTTAAAATATCTATCAATGTCTGAAATAAATTTATTATTTAATTTAAATTGTATATCTCTAGTTAATTTATATTTTTTTAAATTTTATACTTACAAAAATAAATTTAAAATATCCCTTTTGTTTTGGTATTTTCAAACCTAATAAATCTTTAATTTGAGATATTAAAACACAAACTGCTGCACCAGTTGTAAAACTATTCACTAATGGATCACTTAGCAATGTACTTATAATACCCAAATGAAATATATACATTATAATCTAAAAAAAAAAAATTATTATTTTATTGTAATAAAATAAATCTATAAAATATTACCTGAAATATTCCAACCATGAGTGTAACTGCTGTTGCTACTTGTATTGGTGTATATAAATATTCCCCAGGCAAATCGGATAATGTAGTAGTAACATTTGAAGTTGTAATTTCATTGTGTGATATTGAATAAGATGTCACTGTTTTCCCAGTCATCAAGCAAACCACAGCGAATGTTCCTGATGAGTGTCAATAATGTTTCATTGTTCTAGTTTGTCTAATAAGTTCTTATTAAAAGGAGATATTTGTAATAGAAGTTTTTCTGTAATAGAAGTAGTATTTTACAAAGTATATACATATCAAATGTAATATACTAAAAAAATCTTGATCTTGATAAAATACTAAATGCCTTTTCTTATTTTATTGTATTGTATTGTAAAATTTAATACAAATTTTTTCTTACCCATAGATACATGTTTAGATGTGCCAAAAAAAAAATATATTAAAACAGGAAAGAATGCCATATATATACCAACTACTGGAGGTACATTTCCTAAAAGTGCATAAGCCATGCCTTGAGGAATATGCATAATTGCTACAGTTAAACCAGAAATTATATCAGACATTAAATTTTCTTTCCAATTGTAATTTTTTAACCAATATATTGATGGAATTGCAGATATAAAACATGATTTCCAGTTTTTATATTTTAAATCACTTAATGCATTATGAAAATCTATAAACAAATTTCATTCTATATATAATATTTATATTAATAATAAAATTTATATCTATTACATACCAAATGTTTTTGGTTTTTCATAATGATAATCTTCATTTAAAGTTTCTTGTTCATATATAGGTCTTTCTAAATGTATTTGTAAAAGTGTATCATGTTTCTCCATGTTAGTAATAATTAATTAAAATTTATGAATTTTATATAATTTATAATTTTATATAAAAAAAATATATTTAAAATAAAATATTACTTAATATTAATTTGTTATATTTTATTTTTTGGTATATAAATAAATCTAAAACAAATAATATATTAAATAGATAAAAATATTATATAATAATTGATAAAAAAATAATTTTTATATTATTGACCATATATTTTTATATATTGATATAGATAATTATTTTAAATTTCAGCATTTAACAATCATTAAATATTAATAATTTAATTATATAATAATTATTAATTAAATATTAATTATTTATTATTTATTAAATATTAATTATCTACTTATATTGCATATGCTTAAACTTAACCTTCAAATAATTCTAAAAATATTTTTTCTCTATAATTATTTAATATTTTATGTTTTATGTTTTTATTTACCTGCTTTCTTATTATTTAATTATATTTAATTGTAAAGAAAATATAAAAGTTATATAATAAAGAAATTATAATTATTACTTCTTATTTTATTTTAAAACAGGTTCTTTCTGATCGAACTAAACTAATTTAATAATTATTGTATATATATATATATATATATATATATACATTATTATCAAATCACTTCATATGTCATGTGACAGCAAATTAAGTACTACTATATGTGGAGGTATACTTACATCACAGATGAGGTCTTATATATGGTGGGAAAAAAGTATATTAACAATAGATGATATATGTCTCTATATATTATTGTGTATTTATAAATTTATATTACTAAAAAAAACAATATTAAAAGAAATTTCTCATTTCATAATATTCAATTTTTATTAATACATATACATATATATGTATATATATTTTTACATTCAAATTAATAATTAAATTTTAGTATAATCAATGAGAGGAGAATAATTAGTAATATAAATATCAAAACATTAATATTATTCTCTTACTCATTTTAATAATTTTTATACAAATTTGAATTAAAAAAATTATTTTGACTTATTTTTCTATGTTAATAATTATAATTCTTATGAAGATATTTGTACGAAAATTTGATTTATAAATTTTTAGTTTTCTTGTACAATATTTTCTACTTACCTACACTATATAACTATAATTACATAAAAATTACAGTAAAATATATATATTGAAACATTACTAATAACAATAGTATCTACAGTGTAAATACCTAGTGTACGATAAAAATGAAGTGTATTTGTATGTACATATTCTATTTTAAACACACATACATATGCTATATTTTTCTATAAAGCATATATCTGAATTTTGTAAGAATACATGAATATTTTGAATACTACACAACTTATATTTATTAAATTAATATTTATCTATGTAATTATATATAGCAAAAAAAAATGATAATGGAATATTTCTATATTATACGCAAATATTTATTATATTTCTGTTTTTCTTTTCATTTTGAAAAACTATAGTTTTACCATTTTCTTTTTTGGGAAGTTATAAATAGTAACTTAAAAATATAAATCAAGCTGCTTCATCATTACTTCCACTAAGTATACGTGTATTATGATAGTTTCGTTTGGTTCCATATCCTCCTGAATGTTGAGTTTCATAAATTTTTCGATTTTCTAAATAACGACGATAATTATTTTCGCGCTTCCTTCGTTGTTCTTCTGCTTGTTGTCTTAATTTTTCTGGATTCATGTGCGTCGTCACCATATGCCTTGTCAATGAACTCATGAATTTATACGTGATACCACATACATCGCAAGAAAGTATTTCTTCGTTTGCTCCTTGCTAAAATTTATGAATAAAAAAAAATTTAATTTAATTAAAAAAATTTGAAAATTGTTTTTTTTTATTTTTAAGATAAACTATTATATAAATTCCTTAATTTTACGCATATCCTTAATAGTACGTACAAATTGCAGAAAATATGAAAGAAATGGTAAAAGATATATGAAAATATTTTCTTTTCTTATGAAAATCGAATGATTTAAACATTAAGATCGTATTTATCATACGTACTTGTTGATGTACCATCATATGTCTCTGCAAATTGTTCAATCTGTTGAACTCTCGACCACAAACATTACAGTCAAATTTCTTATCAGGATCATGATATTTTTTATGAAGACTCAGATCAGTTGCATGTAAGAATGATTTATGACATACATCGCATGTGTGGGTCCGCTGATCACCAGCCAAATGCGACTGCTCGTGTTTAACCAGACTAGCTTTATCTACGAAACGACGACCGCAGTAAATGCATGGAAGAGGTCGAGATTGTGAATTATGAAGCGTTAAATGACGACGTAGAGCGGTAGATGTTGGAAAGTTTTTATGACATTCGAGGCATTGAAATGGTCGATCACCAGTATGAGTTTTTCTGTGACGAGCTAAAGAATTTTGATCTGGATATCTAAAATATGAATAAAACAATTATCTTTAAAATTATATTTTAAAAAAATATAAATTTAATTATTTGTTTATAAATATAATTGTTATAAAAAATTAACCTTTTAGGACATAAATCACATGGAAAATTTCTTGTTGTAATATCTTCTTCACGAGCATGCTTCAATCTATTATGTCGAAGTAATTGAAGTGATGTTTTAAAGTTTTTATTACAAATATCACATTTTAAATTATCTGTTGTTGGTATAATCACTTGTGTTCTTTTTTGTCCATGTTCATCCTCAGATATTATTAAAGATATAGTTACAGTATTATCTTCATTATCAAGATCAGCAGTAGACATTATAGAATTCTGAAAGATAAAACAAAAATAAAAAAATGCTTTTGACATATATATTTTAGAAATTATTAAAAATACCTGTTTATTGTTATGAATAGATTTAAGTTCATTATCTGGTATAGAATAAGATTCTTCTTCCATTTTTCTAACATTCTGTTGAGATTTAATTTGTGATTCTTTACCTTCAGAATCATTACTATTTTCTGCAATAGCATAATGTCCATCTTCAGTTAAATATACTGGTTGTAAGGTTCCAGTTTCATCTTTATAGTATAATTGACCATCTTCATCTTCGTGTAAAAATATTTGATTCTAAAATTGAAGATAAAATTTATTTGATTATTTAAAATTAAAGAAAATAAAGCAGGATATAAAGTTTAATTAAATGTTTAATTTTATATTAATACCTGAGAATTTTCTTTTTCTTGATTTTGATTAGAATCTGAATTAGTTGTTTCCCATACTTGTTCCTCATTTTCTATTACTGCAGTATCATAAGAATATTGTTCATTATCATCTACTGTCTGTGCAACATATAATGTTTCTATATTATCAGCTTCATAATAAATTGTTCCTCCAATTGGTATAGTATTTTCATCTAATTGTTCCATCTAAAAATAAAATTATTATTTTCACAAATAGTAATTATTATAATGAGTATATTATAATTATAATATAATTAAGTAATACAAACCTTAATATAATGAGCATCTGAAAGTTTATCTGGTTGTAATGTTTTCATTGAACTTTGTTTTTTTGTACCAAGTACAGTATATAATAAATTATTTTCAACATTCTTCACAATTTCATGACTTACATTATTATCAATATTTTCATTATTCATATTATTTTCAAACTCTTGATTTAATTTACATTTTTCTATTCTATCCAAAGATTCTGTATTGTCCTTAAATTCTGATTTATTTGTTTGTAATGGTAAAGAAATTGTTTGATTATTTACATATTTTTTATCACAACTCAATATTCTTTGTCCTTGCAAAGATTCTGTACAATGATTTAATGTATTTGAATTATGTTCAAAGTTTAATTCAAATTGACATTCTTCTTCTTCCATATCTTCATCTTGCCAATCTTCATGTACATCATATGCTATAAGTTGTTTATTATTATGTTTATTATACTGATTTTTCTTTTCATATTCTTTCTCAGATTGTGTCTTGAAGATTGAATTGTCTTCATCAAAAGCATAACTTTCCATTTCTGTTTTAATATTGGCATTTTTGTTTTCAATAAAAGTAATTTCATCTTGTGGTATTTCTTCTTTATCTTCTTCTATTTCTTCTATTATTTCTATAATTTCTTCTATTTCTGTTCCTATAGAATCTTCTGTAGCTTCTGATTCTACTATAACACTTTCACCATTGATGGCATGTTTTAATACTTCCATCACGTCTTTGTCATCATTAATATCTATTGTATCAAGTATTTCATGTGACAATTCCATAATATGTATTTTTAAATGTTGTCCAAAAAGTAATGCTTAAAAAAACAAATATACTATTTATATTTATTAAATTATAAAATTATATTTATTAAATTAATATTATATTACAAAATTTAAAAAAAAAAATATTATTTATTATTTTTAATAGAATTTTACTTATATATAAATATATTTGTTTTATATTTAAAAAAATTAATATTAATATTAATTTTATATAGTAAAATTATATAAAAAACTAAAGAAAAAGATTGTATTATATATATAATTTTTTATAATAACTGTATAAATTTAATTTATACAATTTTCTACAATTAAGATGTATCTTTTTAAGAAGTATGTAAATATATAATCTTATAAAATAGAAAAAATATTTTATTATTCATTATTTCTTCTTATATATAAAAAAGTATACTTATAAATTTTTTATAATTATATATTTTTATATATATATATTTTTAATCACATAAAGGAATATAAAAACAATATATTAAAGAAAAAATATAATTCGATTGTCCTTCATATTTATTCGTTTTTAAATTGATTTACACGGACATTTAGACATTCTGTATCATGCATGTATTACGCACATACTTGTTAGATGTATACATTCTTTGAAGTAGTATTATGTTTAAAAAAAAAGAGAATTTGTACATAAGAAAATCATTCAAAGTATTGGAATAGAGATTAGTATTTTATATATGACAAGAGATACGCGGTTCACCAGTCGGTACGAAAATGTCTTGCGTCTTGCATTTATCAACGGATAGCAAAATGGCTACAAAAAGGGCAATGATTATCTCTTTAAAAAGATACATGTTAATATATTAAAATGTTAAAAATCCCATTTAAGAAATAAACAAATATGCACACAGTTTTATTCACTCTACCTGTGTCAAAATGTTGAAATATCTAAGCGAAGAGGGAAAAAATTGTTTTTGCTCGGTCGATACGCGTTAATGTAATATTTCTCTCTATATTTCCTCAGTAAGCAAGTGACGCCACCTTAAACATCCCAAAGATATATCTTTATCTTCGTCAAAATAGGTTGCGTCAGTTGCATTCGTAAATAGACTGGTTTAAACATTACGAACAGAAATTCTTTTGATTGGCCAGTTGCTCTGAATGGATATTTAAGAAATTTTATTTAAATTTTAAGAATTTTAAAAATTTATAGTTTTTCTTTTAAGTTATATTTATTCCATAATACTTATTGAAAATTATTTTTTTTAGAAAATTTTTTTCTGAAAAAATTATTATATAAAAAAATATTTTTTAAAAGAATTATTTTTTCAAAGATATTTAAAATATTTTATATATATATATCAAAAAAATATAGCAAAAAATAAAAAATTAAAAAAATATATATATAATTTTTTATATGAAAATTATATTTAATATAATTATGATATTATAAATTATATTTGATATATAACTTAGAAAATACCTTTATGTTCTAAAATACGACATAACATAATATTTATTAAATGTAAACATTTTTTAGAAATATATTTTTTTATGATTTATTTAATATTAAATTTATATATTAAATTTATATATTAAATTAAATTTATATATGTATATAAATTATACTATTTTTTTTATTAATATACATATTTCTTTTTTTTTTATTATTTATTTTTTGAATAATTAATTTTTAGCATTAAAGAAAATTTAATATAGAAATAGCAAAGAATAATAATTTGGATAATTATATAGAATAATATTGTTAATAAATGATTTAATTTTTTTTTCGTAGTATATCAATTTTATGTAAAATTAAGAATAAAATCATTTTATTATTTTTAAAATTAAGAAAATGATTAAATAAATACCAAATAATATTATATCAAATGAAAACATTAAAATTTACGTTTTATTTATGATATAAAATACTAAAAAATAACAATAGCACTTTTATAATAAATTTCAAATAATTAGAGTATATATATATATATGAATTTTATTATATAAATACAGTGTTTATTAAAACCATTATCGTGAAGCTTACATGTTGTGTTATTCATTCAAATTTCGTAAAAATGTGGTTTTATTTTTTATTTACTATTCTTACAACATTTGATTTTGCGATGGCTTCATCGGGTTTTGATTTTGGAGATACTGTAGCATTGATTCTTGGATTAATTATTGGAATCATTGGATTTTTTGCCTGTATGGGTACTTATGCACGTCATCGAAGTCGTATGGAAACAATGACATAAAAATAAGTACTCTAAAATTCAAAAAATAGTAAGTATATATATTATTCCTAATTATTTTACAATAAAAATTATGAAAATATTTCAATATTGTTTAGATTAGAAATTTATGAGTAAATAGAAAAATGAAAAAATTCATAATTTATATTTTTAGAAATTATTAATTCTATCATTATTATGATAAGAAATGCTCTATAAATAGTATATAAATTTCTTTTTTAAAAAACGAACAATTTTTAATAAAATTCTTATTAATAGAATTTTAATAAATTTTGTAGCAAATCATATTTATATTTTTATATATATTCTTTTATACCAAATATCAAAATATTATTTTATTCTATTTTAATTATTTTATAGTTTATTAATAACTTATCTTATTTCAATTACAGGCTATTCAATGTTTATAAAATTAAAGTAATAAATGATAAACAAATCCTTTTTGATAATAAAAGTAATTTTGAATTACATTTATGATATATAATAAGTTATTTTTATGTATTATAATATTATTGTAATATAATTATTAAATAAATTTTTATAATAATAATAATGATACATAAATATGTATCAGAACATTTATTAAAAATATTATATTATATCATTAAAAATATATTATTTTAAAAATTTTTTTTAAATTTTTATATGTAACAAGTAATATAAATGTATTTAACAATATACATGTAAAAAGATTGTAATATTTTAAAATGATTATATAATATAGAAAAATATTATTTATAGTACATGCAATACTAATTAAAAAAATTATATATTGTTGTCTACATAATATATTCATAAATTTCACAAATATACAATGTTAATTAACATCATAAACTACATTTTGATGTAATTATTTTTCAAGTAAGGAATGGAAGATAATATTCTGAGCACAATTATTTAAATTATTCCAGTTTGATTAATTAATTAATTGATTAATTGAAATCGCAAAACAACAGTTCATAACAATAGAATTTCTATGTATCTCTATTACAACTTCTTTTCATTATAACGAAGAATTTTAATTAATTTTGTTATTTTTTGTAATTTTTTTGAATGCTGATGCATATCTAATCAGTCTTTACAAAATTTCTTATAGAATTTCACACAACATAGCTTACATAAATTTTTGAAGCATGTATGAACTTATATACTAGTTAGCATAGGAAAGCTCTTTAATTATTTTTTCCTAACATTTTTCACATTTCTTATTACAAGCAAAGTAATTAAATATTAATACAAGATATTTTAGAAAGTAATTAAAACTTTATTTTTTTTAAAAATCCTTTTTTTTTTATATATTTTACTCAATGAATTTAAAATTTTTATATAGAGAAATTTTAAATGTAGATAACTTTAATTAATTGTATTATTCAAGATAAATACTTTTTTTTTTCATTTGAAGTTTGATAAAGTAAAATATTTTATTATACAATACAACAAACATCTGTTTTTCACAATTGCATTTCTAAAATATCAAATGATATATTTATGTGCTTAAAACAATATATATATATGTAATACAACTTATATGTATGTATGTATATACATATGTACATACATATATATATATATGTTGTATTTACAATCAACAAATTGTTTATATATACTTGCAATTAATTATATGAATCTATTAAATAAATTAAATAATTTTAATAAATTAGTTCATTAAATTCTGATCCATCAATATGTAATAAGATTTTATGTGTGATTTTTTTTAAATGTAGCAAAATATGATATACTTATTCTTTTTGTCATATTTTCTGAAAAATATATAGTAATACCTACGTTTGAATGTACTAAGTTCAATTCCATCAAGTTAGATGCCATATTGGTAGAAAAGAATTATGATGAATTCATATTATTGATTTTTTCATATGTAACAGTGCTGTTTGGTATTCTTTGGTAAAACAATAAAAATGTTTTACAAAAATTTACTCCAATTATATAATTATTATAATAATTATATATAATTAAAATCACATTGTATATAATATATCTGCAAAAAAAAAAATCTATTTTAATGCTGTTAATGAAATAATATTCATTTCTATTGTCTTATTTTATTCATTTCAATGAAATTCTTCATTCAATGAATAAATTTGAAAAATTAGAAATCAATTTTTACCAAACTATATCACTGTAAATTATTATATTTAAACATAATTTATTTTCGAAATTTTATATATTGTTTTTATTAACAAATATAGGAGCTATATTGAAAGCCAATCCACCTATCAGTAAATGAATAATATGTACATTTAGTATTACATGTTATGCATTTTTTTTTGAGTATTATCTAATAAATTTTATTTAAAAGTAACTATATAAAAATAATTGCAATATATTTCCATGAGAAATACATACAATTATCTATATTATAATGTTTCGTTCAACAATTACATGAATTTATTACTAGGTGGATTAACTGAATTTACAGATCAAATAATAATTTTTTTTTTGAAGAACAGATTAATAAAATTGTAATACAAAACATAAAAATAAAACAAGTATAAAACAATTGAGTGAAATTATATATATCATGATTAAGCAATAAATTGGAGATTACAAGAAAAACTTCACGTTTAATTTCAAAATAGTTTTCAAAATTTTAATACTGATAATAATGATAATAATAAATTCATGCTCAAAGCAGTAGTAAATCGCAACATTAAAAGCGATACAAACTGCAATTATTAGAACGAAATAAAAATAACATTATAATCATTAATAAACAATAATATTTGTAATTATACAAATAAGCTATTCTTAACTATATTGCAGTATGCAATATGTGATAGCACAGATAAAAATTTAAAATATATTTCTTGGGATATAATGCAAATATTAAATTATTTTTGATATATTGTTAAAATATGTATGTATGAATTTCATACCTAAGTCATGTTTCTATTGAGCTTTCTTTTTTAAATTAGATTCTCAATATTTGTAACGATTATCATTATTTCTTTTAAAGATATGATTTGATTACCGAAATTAAAGTACTAAATCAAATTTCTAAAATATATAAAGGAATGGATTGTGCAAAACGTATTATAAATGAAATGCCAATAAGTAAAATAAACTGATAAATTAAATATACTGTAATAAAAATATTGACAATTGAATCTAAAAGATAATAGTTGATATAATATTAGATAAGATATATGAGACTGCTAACTAGTAACACATGACTTTTTTTTTTAATTGAAATAGGTAAAATCGCTAGAAATACATTAAAGCATAACAGTGACTATATTAATCAATTTCTTCTCTGTTTAATTCTGCAATCTCATACATGCACACACGACATACATTCTCTCTTCAAAGCATTCAGTATACATTAACAATTATACATATATATCGAGCAGAATGGCTCTATGCCATTATTTGTAAGACTAGCTGAGGCCTGTACTAATGTGAACTGTGCTAATGAATTGAGAGCAGAAAAGGTTTTTTAATAAGCATTTTTACTAAAGAAGAATATTTACTACAATAAAGAATAAGCACAGTACATGTAAAGGCCTCTATCCTCAATTTCAATATTTTATTTCTTTTTCTTTCTTTTTTTTTTGTCTAGAATTTTAATTCGTTCATTCAAAATATTCTTCGTGTATGAATTGAGTGTTTTAATATTTGCTGCTAAGCACATATCAAATAATATCATGCTCACGCAAAGACATCAAGAATATTTTAAATTACATACGGATGTTACAATAACGAATACATCCTAAATACTTTCATTCGCATCTCCCTGCATACATATCCATGAGGATAAGGATAGTAGTATGTATTAGCAAAACTATAATAAAATAACAATCATAATAATGCATGACTTTCATACTAGTGGATAAAGGGCAACACGTTTAAATAAAGAATGTATTACGAAAATGAATAAATCGAAAAATGACCATAATTTGCTGAAGATTAGGTTATTGATCAATATGAGAGGGAGGGGCTGTTGAATTGTCAACATTTGCAGTATGCAAAGATTCTGTTGGCGGTGTACCATCATGAGAATTCCCTATATGCGGAGTAGCCGGAGTAGCTGGCTGAGATTGAGACGTTCCACCTGGAGGAGCATATATTAGTCGATAGCCAGCTGGTAAAAAGAAACCACCATGTGATGTACAACTGAATGTTTGAAAATTTGGTAATGTTTGATTTTCATGATATTGGATATAACTTCCGCTTCCTGTTGAACTTGATATTGGTATAGGTGTAACTAACGATCCAGTAGAAGATACAGCGATATTTGTTCCATCCGGTAATATAGGTGTGAATTGATATTGCGCTGAATTTATAATTGCCGGATTATGCGCTGAGTCAAGAGATTCTGCAATTTCACTTGTATAACTACTAGATTGCTGAGTAGACACGTTTTGAATAGTTTCAGAAGGCACTACTGGAATTGGAATAACATAAGCATGTGGTATTCCAGTTGCCGCCTGTTGTGGTTGTAGTTGTAAAGGAGTTTGCTTCAATTTTTGCATAGCTAATCGTAATGTTTCATCAGTATCTGGATAATTGTTTGGAACTTTTTGCAAAGGAGTTTGAGGATTTGTATTAAACATTAAATATTCTTCTGTACCTGAAAGTCTACTTTGTCCTGTTAGGAAAAAATGTTATATGATTATGAAAAAAGTATAATTAAAATGAAATATATCAAATATATTAAATATATAATATATCAAATATATCAAATATTCCAAATAAAAACTAATTACTAACCTGCCACATTAGTAGCAACAGTATGATAAAGCAATGGATGATGTTGATGATGATGCTGATGAAGTGCACTTGCTTGCTGTTGTTGTTGAATTAATAGTTGCAATTGATGTTGTTGAAATCGTTCTAATTCTTCTCTATGTCTTTTTTGTAATGTTTCTAATTCCATAGTTTGCCTGTATAAATAAAAATAAAATTAATTTTTAATTGTTATAAAATTATGATATTAAATTTTGTAAAAATAAACTTACTTTTTTATGAGTAATTGATATTCTTCACTTGGTGTTAATGTCCAGAATCGTTCATCTTTTTCCGATTGCTGTAATAAGCAATAAACAATAATGTTTGATTAATAATGTATTTGATTAATAAAATATTTCAAGAAATTGAAAAAATATAATTTTTATTAAAACATTTATATTTACTTCTATAACAGGAGCATTAATAGCTTGAGTAACTTGCGTAGGAGGAAGAGAATTCTCACGACTATGAACTATTTGTACTGATGTTCCTATAATTTGTAAACATTTAATCTTTAAATATTTTTAAATATATTTGATTCTTCAATTGATTTTATAATTCCTTACCCTGTGTATCATCTGCATGATAAATCTTTGAATCTTCTATTTGATTTTTTGATATATCAATATGTTGTTGAGTTGATGTAGCAACATTATTAGGAGGACCTGCGACTTTGGAAACTACGAATCTTGATATTTTTCTAACTGGTTGTGTAGTATTAACTTTCTATTATAAAATTAAATAATTATTTTTTAATAATATATTTTACATATATTGAAATTTACTATATATAATTATATTATAGTACCTCAGTAATATTTTCTTGAGATTCTATTTGTATTGGAGTATTTGTATCGGAGCGTGATGTAATGACATTGGAAATAACATTAGCAACAGGCACAGCAGTTACAGGTGGAACAGTAGTTAATAAAGTTTGAGTATGTTGTAATGATGGTTGCATCTGAATAGAACTAACAACAGAAACAGGTGGTGTTAAAGGTTGTGGAGAAGCTGTTGGTAAAATTGTGCCTCTATGATGAATTTTTGCTAATTCTTGTTCCAATTCTTGAAGACGAGATCCTGGTCTTTGCGTTCGAATTTTTATATTCTCTTTGCTGGGACTCATAGTTTCAGATCCTACAGGACCTCCTGGTGTTGGACTATCGAGAGAACAATCTACTTGCTGAAGAATAAAATAAGAAAATTATATATTTTTGTATTATTAACTTTAACTTTTAAACATAATTATATAGAATGAATAATGAATCATTTAAAGAAAACACTTAAATGTCTGCATTATTTTTGATTTTATGAAAAAATTTTATTAATAAAAAAAAATTCAATATAGTGGAAGAGCAATTGGATAATTGTAATATAGTATTAATATTTTTTTTGTAATAATGTATAATGTATATTTTTTTTGTAAATGTATATACTGATATTAATATTTTTACTTATATTATATTAATATAACAATATATAATATAATTTATATTATTATATTAATTATAATAACAACTTATATTAATATTTTTTTTATAAAATTAAAAATAGAATTTTTGAATTATAAAATATAATATATCTTAAAAAATAGAATTATTATTTAAATGTTCTTATTTAAATATCTTTCTATATATAATATTGCTATATATAATCCTGTATATAATATTGCTAACTTACAGTTTGAGAAAGTGCAAGTTGATGAATTGTGCTTTCTTGAGTTAAAACAGAACTTTCCACATTTGTTGTAACATTTGAATCAGCCAAGGTTGTAGCAGACTGTATTGTAGTTTGAGGTGATAAAGGACCCTATTATATATTTTTTATTATTAATGCGATACAAAAGAATATAATTAAATTTTTATATTTTTAATAAATTATATAATAATTATATCAATATATATTAATATATAATAATTAATATATATAAAAAATATATTTTTAGATATATTAGATATATTAGAATTATTTACATTCTATTAATTTTTTATATTTTTAAAATTACTTACTATGTTATGTGTTGTTGAAATAGGCATGCCAATATTAACAAGTTTTTGTTGTAAAGAATGCATGTAAGCATCATATCCACCTATTATTTGATGATTATGAGGAGTAGCTGGATAACTTAAAGGTGGTGTGCCTACATTAAGTGCTTCGGACGGTTGACTTGTTAATTGAACAAGCTTTTGATGAAGATCTGCTATTGTTTGTGGACCTGTCCCACTAATTCCAATACTTGTGTCTGAAACTTTGTCTAAAGAATTCTGTTGACTAAGTTTTCGATGTTGTTGTTGCTGTTGTTGCTGCTGTTGCAATATTTGATTTTGTGTAAATAAGGTCGAATCTACAGATTCAACAATCGTATGTTCAGGAGTTACATCATGGCTAGAGTTTTCATTCTCCGATAGTAAAGGACAATCAGAACTTGTACGTCTAATATTAGATAAAATGCATTATTGTATAAAATATAGAAAAATATATATATATATTATAGAATATTAATGCACACTCTATACATACCCAACTAAATTGATCATTTCTTGAGTTTCAGTTTCCAATACTTTTCCTAAGAATTGTTGGTCGGGAAGCTTTAAATGAAACTGAGATTGATCAGAAGCAGTAGAATTCTCAATATTTTGAGTATCTTGTACAATATGTTGTGGAATAGTTTGTTGCAGTTGTGGTTGAATCTGTTGAACGTGTCTAATCGGCGCATTCTGTTGTACAATAGTTTGATTCGCAGGAGTAATCCATTTGTTCTGTGAAGTTAATGTATGAACTGCTACTCCTTGAAAATTTTGTTGTACCATTTGTAATTGAGGATCAATCTGATGAGTTGCATTTAGTTGCATTGTTTGTTGTAAAGGTATTTGAGTTTGATGAGTCTGCTGTCCAATTTGAAATGTTTGTGAAATTCCTTGTTGCGTTATATTTGTTTGATAATTATGCGGTAATTGCGGTTGTATTTGACTTGTTTCTGGTTGAATAGGTTGAAAATATTGCTCAGATTGAAGAGTAGGTTTATATTCGAGTACTGTAGTTCCTGGGATATTTACTGTTTGGTTTGATTCATGAGTAGTTAAACAATGAGGAGTTACAGATTTTGATTTTGGATTCGAAAGTATATTTGCTAGATTTTGTGCTAAATCTGGAAGTGTTGATGAAACTTCTTTTGTTTTAAGTACAACTTTAGGAGCAACTTCTGCACTAACAACTTGATGAACAGGAACTGAAACAGGTACAGATGCATTTGTTGGAACATTTATTATATTTTGAGGAGTTGTTTGAAGCTGTTGAACTGGTTCTAAAACAGAATGTGATGTAATGTTCGATCCATCTTGTTGAGAAATAAATTGTACATGTTGCATTGATGAATTAGGTATAACAATAGATTGTTTCTTATCATCCGTAACACTAGCAGTTTCCGAAATTTGTGAATCTGTAGACATATTTGATGTTGTTGAGATATTAGAAATTCTACGATTTCTTTCATCTATAATTGCAGTTGGTTGTAGTTGTGGAATAGCTCCAGAAAGAATTACATATTGTTGATGTTGTTGTGGTATTTGTTGAGGATGAAATTGTTGTAATGATCGCTGAGTTTGTATTTGCCCTTGATGTTGATTTTCAGGTTGAATATGCATTTGCGTTAAATTTTGTTGTACAGTAATTTGTTGTTGCTGTAATAAAACATTACATTGCAAAGCTTGATTTTGATACTGTCCTTGTAAATTGATTCCACTTGATGAAACTTGAGTTGATAAATCTTTTTGCGATATAGCTAAGTTTTGGGGTACAGTTTGCATTTGTTGAGTAGATTGTTGCAGTATTGGTGATCCTTGAATGATTACATTATGTTGACTAGATTGTACAGCATTAACATTCTGCTGTATTTGTGACATTGGTGTTATTGTTTGTCCTTGTATAGCATTTTGAAAATTAACCGTTACTGGTTGTATTATTTGAACATTTTCCACTTGTTCTGTGATACATTGAGGACTTTGTGTAATATTTTCGATATTATATTTTTCAGAAATTATAGCTTGTGCTTCTAAAACATTAACTTCTAAATCATCGTGTTTTATTTGTCCTTCTTCAATTGTATTTGATTGTGATAATGAATTTGATTGTGTTGCTAATATATTAGATTTATCTATATTTTCTACAGTATTAGATCCTTCTTCTTCATTTTTAATTATTTTCTGTTCAACTACAGGACTAACTAAAAAACGAGAGATTTTTCGCGCTGGAGGTGCAGTTAATGTAGCTACTTCTACAGATGAAACATCAGATTGCGTTTCTTTATTCATTTCCTTTTCTTGTTCTATTATATCTTGAACAGATTCTTTAAATTTTTCGCTTATTTGATTTATAGCCAAATCGTGTATTTGACTTTGACTGTATGTTAAAGAAGATTTAGCAGTTTCATCTTTAAGTACGTGATGTATATCTTGTACAGTTGTATCAGTGTTTGTTACAGTAACTATAGTTTCTTGAGTTGGATCAGTAGGATCACTTGGTAAATTAGTCGGCGTTAATGTATCTGTATTTTGTGTGGATGTAGATGATCTTCTAGATGCTTCAGCTGATGTATTTTCAAGACCCATCTGGCTATCAGGTGTTTGTACATTTTGTTGTTTATCCATAGAGGTGGTACTCGTAATATGAGAAAGAATTTGATCAATTGGCAACAATTTCGTAGGTGTAGAAGTGTTGGAAGTTTCGTCTCTCTGAAATTATACAATAATTGATTATTTAACTATCAAAACTATCTTTTACCACAAAATAATTATAATGCACATAAATAAAATAAAATATTAGCATAAATAAATAAAATAATTATTGCAAAATATAGTTATATATACTAGTTACAAAATATATTTAAATTCAATTACAAAAAGAAAAACACAAATTGATATTTTTAATAATAAATGTACATGTTTTACAATAATATTAATAAATCTATTTAAATAAATATTATTTCGTTCATATTTAGACAATATCATAATTTATAATTTATATTATAATCGTTTTTTTACATTTTATAGAACTTATATTAGTAGAATTTTTTTTAATATAATATTATATTTTTGTATTATAAGATTATAATATCAAATTAATTTTTATAAAAAAATCGAATTTTTCTGAAAAATTTTTAAATAAAAATTAAATGTTAATAATTAATAAAATTAAAATATGAAACATATTCTAACATCTAAGCGTTACATTATATGAATTGTCTATAGAACAAATTTAATAATATGCAGAAAATATTGTTATATGATATTGTTGTACTAAAAGATACACAAATGTCCGAACACAATGTATCATGAATCAAAAAGGATGCAGAAATGCCCACGATTATATAATGAAATATAGGAAATAGGGAGAGGTACAGCGGGGACGATGAACTCACCGAACGGTGTCTACGATGGACTTTGTACGACGATCGGTGGCTGCTTTGACGAGTTAGCGAGCCATGTCTCACCTGCTGCGTCCAAAACGATATATACCAATTATATGTTGGAGGTACACTCTTGCATTTTTTTATGAGGTCACAAGATGTACATTTCGAGCATAATATAACGTTATTTTAATATAAAATATATAAGAAATATGATTATTTGGAAAATTATTACTTTGGAAAAAGAACTTACAAGACGCAAAATAGTCCTATGATATACATTATGGACTTTTGTGTATCAGAATTTTAAGAATTGATAATATTAATATAACACATATATTAATTATTACAATACTCATATTAAAGATTTTTATTTTAAGATTTATTTTTGTTTGTTTGTTTTTTTTTTAAGAAAAAATTATGTTTCTTTTTTGATAATTTACTAGTTTCATATGTTATATTTATAATATATTAATATTTATATAAAATAAATTAGAAAAACGAAAAGAAAATCATTACCTTAGCTGTATCAAGACTGTGGTCACGATCTCTAGGTCTACGACTTGTAACAGGGCTACCACCGGCAGATTGATCTGGTGGACCATGTGCTACTAAAGGTAAAGCTCGTGTAGGATCCAAACGTAATTGTTTAACTATATCTTCTATCAATTCAACAAACGTTTCACATTGAGATTGCGGTAATAAATTTTCAGCAACCTGAAAACAAAAAAAAAAAAAAAAAAAAAAAAAAATAATATAAAGTAACAATAAAAATAATGATATATAAAATTTTATCAATGGGTTACCAAATTATTAGCAATGTCAGTAGGCACCATATCATCTCTATCAAATTTAAATGTCACAGTTTTCTGTTTGCTAGTATCTAATTGACATTCAACAGTCATTGATTGACCCTCATTACTGCTTACAGATAAAACTGTTAATTTGATACCAGGTTTTTTACGTTTTGTACCAGATCTTTTCACTCTAGATCTTTCAGATGAAGTAACATTATCAATATTTTCTTGCGTCATTCTATATGAAAAATAAAATATATAATTAAATATTTGATCAATAATCATACTATTTGAGAAAAACTGAAATTTTATAAATTACCCTTCATTTGGCACTGTTGTTTGCGATGTAGTATTTATATTAGTCAAATTAGAGATATTCCCCTGATCTTGAACATTAGAAGATACATCTGATGGTAAAGATTGTACAGAATCCATTGTATCTTGCTTAGATAAGGATGATCTATCGGTGTTAGAACATTCTGTATTTGATATAAAATGCTGTTGATGTTGAGATGTTGTATTTGATTGCGCGGAAATACCAGATATGGGTACAGAAGTAGGAATATTAGAATTTTGCGAATATTGCATTTGAACTAAAACATTCTGTTGAGGTTGATGTCCACTATTTGTAATTAAAGTAGACGTATTTTGCACATTTGGTATTGTTGAAGTTATTGTATTTTGAATGTGAGTCGATGATGATGTACTTTGAATATTTATACCAGATGGCACAGATGCTTGAACTTGTCCTGCTTGTTGTTGTTGTATATATGGTTGTGAAGTTGGAGGTGCTGTGCTCTGAGAGATATTTGAATGAGAATACATTTGAGGTGTAGATTGATTAGATGATAAAATTTCGACATGACCAGAAGAATTCGAGCTAGTATATGAATGATACATTTGTTGAGATATATTTTGTTGGTACATTGGCTGTGTATTATATCCTGAAGTTCCTGTTGTACTTTGCTGATAGTACTGTTGATTTTGAACTGGCGGAGAAGCCACTGAATGTGAATGTACTTGTTGAACATGTTGTATTTGTGGTTGAGAATATTGTACTTGTTGAGATTGTTGTATTTGCTGATGTTGCATGTGTTGTGGTTGTGATAAAATTTGTATTTGTGGTTGAATTTGTTGTTGTATCTGATGACTCATTTGTTGTGGTACATTCATTTGATTCAATTGTATATATTGTTGTTGCTGATGTAAATGTTGTTGCTGTTGCATTTGTTGAGTTACTTGAGGAAATTGTGGTTGAGTCTGTACAGTTTGAGGAGTGGAACATTGTGAAGAAGTAGCAGTTAAATTTTGTGAAACATGCTGGGAAAACTGTTGTTGCTGTTGTTGTTGCTGCTGTTGATACTGTTGTTGCAATTGTTGTTGATATTGTTGTTGTTGATACTGCACCTGTTGTTGTGAAACCTGAGGTACTTGTTGTATTTGTTGTGCTTGTTGTGGCTGAACAACAGATGTTTGTTGTTGTATCAATGGTTGTTGTTGAACTAATTGAACTTGTTGTGGTTGTAAATTATGCTGCTGAGTTTGTTGTGCAGCAGTTTGCATTTGTTGTTGTTGTTGCAAAGGTATTTGATTTTGTTGCAATTGCATTTGTACTTGATTTTGCATTTGAATGCCCATATTTGATTGCATTTGTTGTTGCTGTTGTTGCAATTGCATTTGTTGGAGTAATAATTGTTGCTGTAATAAATTTTCAGTGGTTGTATTAGTATTATCTGCTTCTCTATCTAAACGTTCCTTTTCTTCTTTGGCCTTACGTTCTTCTCTCTCTCGTAATAAAGTACTGATTTGTGATTTTAACATTTTTGTCACAGCTTTAACATCTTCTTCGAGTATAAGGCTAGATTTAGCCATTTCAGAGGCTACTTCTTCTGCATTATCAGTTTGAATATCAAAGTCAAACTGTATCGCTTCATTTTCTTTATGCTTATTAGTACGTTTTTTAGGATCTAACACTCGAAGTCTGAATTCAACACGTGACAATTCCGCATCCGCTACAGCTGAATCTCTCGAAACCATTTCTAATTTCAATCCGACATCATCCGCAAAAAATTCATGATTTAAAAGATCTTTAACTAGAGGTCGTTCTTCTTTTTTTAAACGAATACACATTTCTATAATTTCGCGTACTTCTGGATTTTCTACCTTGTCATAACTTTGTGGCTTTACACCCTGTATATAATATAATATAATTATTTCTTAATATGTTATTTGATATATTAAATAAAAATAAATAGAAAAAAAACAAATTTGTTATTAATATTAAAAATAATATTAATAAAAAACAAATAAAAAAAATATAATAATACGATAATAGTTCATTAGTTAAAAGTTAAGTTAGTTAATGAATTTTAATAAATAATATGTTATTATTAATTATATTTATACTTTATGTTACTAATTAAAATCAATTAATTTACCGATACTACGCGTTTATATATTTGTGCTGGTCCAGTACATTCAGAGTATGGATATTCACTAGTAGCCATTTCAAGCATACACATTCCAAATGCATAAACATCAACAGATTCATCATAATGTTCTTCATACATTTCTGGTGCCATAAATTCAGGTGTTCCAATAACACTTTTTGCAAAACTTCGATTTTTAAGAGTAGCAAGTCCTAAATCACCAATTTTTACGCTTCCTGTCGTACCAGTAATAAAAATATTGTCACATTTTAAATCACGATGAATAATTGGTGGTGATCTTGAATGCAAAAAACTAAGGCCTTTTAAAATTTGTCGACACCAAGATTTCACTACTTTTGGATTAATTTTTTTAAAGCGCCTTAAATACCTATATGAAATTGAACGAATATATTTTTAAATATAATAATAAAAATTTCATAAATGTTTAAATTTAAAAATTTACGTTTTTAATGTTCCTGAAGTCATAAGCTCAGTGACTAATACAATATATTTTCTTCGTGTAAGAGTAACTTCCCAATAGTCATAAAATCTAACAATATTTGGGTGTTGTAATCCTTTCAACATTTCTGCTTCTTCTCGAAATCTTAATCTTTCTGTCTTGTTTAATTTTTTTTCCTGAAAAAAAAAAAAAAAAATTATAATTGCATTTAAAAAATTATATAAATATTTAATTATATTTTACTGACTTGTAATTCACACCAAGCAACAGCTACACCAGTTTGAGTATCTAGTCCTCTATATACTGTTTTAAAACTGCCTCTACCGATTTCTTCTTCAAATTTTAAAAATCTGCCATCTGGTGAAATACCTATAGCTTTTTCTTCATCATCATCATCTTCAACTGTTTGCACTTTAACTTTCATCAATAAATTTCGTACTTCTTCCATAGCCATAGTTTTTTGTGTTAATTTTTCATCTGCTTTAAAATTTTCATCAAGTAAGGGACCAATAAATCCTTCTACTGTTTCTTCTTGCACAACTTCTTTCTCTTTTTCTTCTTTCATCATTTTAGTTTCATCTTGCATATTTGCATCTTTGACATTCTCCATATCTGTATCTAAAGGTGGTACTTTTCCTAATTTACTTAGAGATTCATGAAGTGCCTGAGCAGCAACAATATCACTGATACTAGTGCCGTTATCATCTTCATCATATATTGTCACTTCTTCTACTTCTCTTTGTGTATCTATATCTTTAATTTCAGTTTCTACAATTTCTTCAGACACTTTTGATGTTACAAATCTTGAAGATTTTACTACTTCTTCATTCTGTTGCATATTTTTTTTATCATCAATTATATTTTTGTTAGAATTTTTAGTTAAGTTTTCATTCTCTGCAATATTTGTAGATTTTGATTCATCGTTGGATATTTTTCGTTTTATTTTTTCATTATTTTTATTAACTGCTGAACTTATAGAATTATCTGCAGACATATTTATATCTATATTTTTTTCCATATTCGTTTCTTTTAAATTTTTATTGTTTTGTTGTTCAATAATTTTTTCTGTAACATATTTACTTTTAGATTTTATAGTTTTACCATCACTATTATTACATTTCGAATTTATAGAAGAAGTTGAAAATATTTTTTGTTTATTCTGTGCACTTATTTCTTCTTCGATACAATTTATCGATATTTTTCTTGTAATATTCGAAGTCGAAGAGAATTCGAAACATTCTGATGTTGAAGTTTTTTGTTTATTAGAATCTGATTCCTTTTTATCTGTGTTCAATAACAAAGTAGCATTTTCTTCACTAATATTGCATTCCATATTCGTTTCATCTTCATCCGACTTTTTTAATTTTAATCGACTAATTGGTGTTGATGGTGTAGAACTGGATCCTGCATATAAATTTCATAGTAAAATTTATAAAATCTTTTGAAAAAATTATTGTTGAATGCAAATAAATAATACCTGGCATATTGAACACATTTTCCGTTGCTGTAATAGCTTCCTCTGCATCACTAAAACTGCGTTCATTTTCATGATCTAAAGATGGTGAATTAAGATTCCGAGAAATTGATTTTTCAGAAATTCGTAATGTAGATAAAATTTTCTTTTTAGAAGAAGGGGAAGTACTGCTGATTCCGTTACTTGTAATAGATAATGAATCTGTGTTATGATCAATCCTTTGTGTTCGCACTTGTTTTTTGCAAATTGTTGTAGAGGAACGGCTAATATTTGATGTCTAAGAAAAATAATAAATATATAACTTAAATTTATATAATATTTATTATTTAGATATGGAATATTTTATTTTTTATACCTTTCTATCTCCAGAACTATGAGCACTAGTGCCAGCTTGAGAAACAATAGATAATTTTCTTTGGCGTTTATGATGTGTATGGTTATGGATCCTTTGAGAAGTTACAACTGAACAAGGACCTCCTTCTTGAGAGGCTAAGTGGCCCACTGCCAAATTAATCCCACCCTGATTTCCACCACCTCCACTGGCCACCAATTTTGGACATAAACTTGACAGGCCACTTCCGCCTGAGGATTGTTGTCTATTTGTCTCATACCTAAAATGTGATTGAAAATACTACATCATATTTTTTTTAGAAATTGTAATTTTCTTTTAATTAAAGTTTTTTTTTAAATATTTTTTTTGATTAAAAAAATATTTTATATTTAAATCATATAATCATATTAATTTAAATACAGAAAACATTTATTTTATAATATATAATATATAATATATAATATAAAATATAAAATATATGTTATAATATAAAACAAAAGCAAAATTTATAAATTATATATAATAATATGTTATTATGTATAAACATGATTAAACAATAATATGAAAAAATTACACACATGCACATACATTTTGCAATCAAATATTTTTTATTATATAACTATGAAGAATAATAAATCAAGAAATTAATATTTAGCTCCATCTGTACTAAATGTACATGCTTGATATGAAATTGTTAAATAATATCAAAGTGTTATATATGATATTTTGAAGTACTATTTAATCTTGAAATGAGATGGAAATATGAAAAATATTTGAAAAATATATTATAAATATATTATAAATAAATAAAATTTATGATATTCATAATACTTTTATAAAATAAAAAGCTAAATTAATAATTGTTAATAAGATATTATTTTACCAATGTTTTATTTAATGATTGAATGATATTAAATGCTAATGCAATAGTTTTATATTGCAATATAACAATAATGTAAATCATATTACTAACCTTTGAATACCTACAAAATTTCATACTTGAAGTTCAGGGTCAGTAATTCTGAAAATATATTGGAATTTATACTTTCATATATTTCTTTTTAATGAAATCTTTTAATTTTATTTAATAAAAATTTCTTTATTAGATTTTATAGTACTTCAACATTCTAAGCTAGCTAATTTTTAAGATGTTAAATAATATAATTAATATTTATACATTATTAACAAAATCTAAATATTAATAAATAATATTATGAATGGTGTAATACTTATAATTAATAATAATATTATTTGAATATTGATTGAATATTAATGAATATTAATGAATATTATTTTTTTAATATCTATATTCATAGATATTTTTTTATTAAGAATTTTTAATAATTTTAATAAAATTATGTACATATATAGTACCGATGATATAAATAAAAAGATTTTGTGCATATGTGCAATTTTATTATAAAATATTATTATATATTTTTGTCATAATCAATAATTTAAAAATTTAAATTTAATATTAAGTGAATTCTATTCATATGTTTAGAATTATATATTTTAAAAGAATATTTTTAGAAATCAAATATTTAATTTTTAATAAATAAAATAATCTATAAAATAGTATAATATTAAAAATACTCATTAAATTGCATTCCAAATTAAATATATATTAGATAATATAATTAAATTAAAAAGTGAGTTATAGCAAAGAAATTAAATGATAGAAGATAAAAAATGACAATGTAAGAAGCATGATTTTTGATACAGACATCATTATACCTGTCCTGCCTACTATGGCCAGATGAGAGGAATCCACGCACTGTATTGCCTATAGCTGCTCGCTTTTTAACTTCTTTTTTTCGTTCTCTGTACCCACCAGATCCAGTGTCCACTTGGTCTTGACGGGTATTTCTATCTCCCTGTAATATAATCCTGAATTTAATAACAAATGAATATGTACAAAAATAATATTATATATATATAATATATATATATATTATATACATAATAAAAATTAACAAGATAAAAAATATATATATATATAAATTTAGAAATAATTTATTACCTTAATACTTAAAAGCTTTATATTTAAATTAGTACTTGTACTTGTTGGAACTGGACTTAGATCACACCTTATTCTTCTGTGTGATTTTTCAACAATTGGTGGATCTTCCTCTAATTCCAACTGATTTCCAATTGAAAAAGAACAATTCTGTGTTAACAAAATATCTTCTGTATTATGTTTTTGACTAGTGCCAACCGAACTCACTGCCTTGTTTTCATTGCAGCATCTCGGCATTGCACATAACCAATGTATGAAAAAGTTTGCTTTATAAAAATCCTGATCTTCTATTTTATATATATATATATATATATAAATATATATATATATTTGTGTATGTCTGATGTGTGTGTGTGTGTGTGTGCATGTGCGCGTGTGTTTGTGTATATATCTTCTTTTTTAATTTAAATTGAATAATGATTTAATAAAGAGTTTTAATATCATATTATTCATAAGGAAAACAGCATAATATTTTTAATTAACTTTACTTTCAAATTATAAAATACTAGATGCATTTATGCAATGACAGAGTATATGGTTCTTATATTCATCACAGATTTTTTCCACCTTCAGTTATCAAATAAACTCTGTTACTTCAATTTCTTAATGAATATTTAATATCGAAGAAGTTAAATGATTCTGAAAACAAAAAGGATATTAATATTAATAATGATAATTATTATAAAAATATTAATAATAAATCCTTGAAATATTTATTTTTACATGAATAAATATAAATAAAAATTTCTATATAGATAACATGCAAAATTCTATTTTATATTTTATTCATAAATAATTTTTAATTTTTCTTTAATATTTTTTGTAATAATTTTTATTTTTTATAAAATAAAAAAATATTTAATTTTTAGAAAAATTGTTCTAATTACAAATTATGATTATAAATTTTATATATTACATACAAAATAATATATATTATATATTTTTATATAATAAAATAATTAGTTATTTTAAAAAACTATTTATTTTATTTATAAATTAAATTTTTCATTATTGATGAATTAATAATAACATATATTTTCATTATTAATGAATAAATAATAATATATATTTATTGTAATTTAAAAATAATTTAAAACTATTTCTCATATATAAAAAAGGTTATTGATCAAAATTTTTACACTATTTAAATTTTTTATATAATATATCTTTAATATTAATCAAAAAATATATTTATTTTATTATTTATTATATATTATTATTTTAAATAATGCTAATAATTTTTTGAGTATTTATATCAAATTTAAATTAATATTTTTATTAAACTAAATTTATATTAAAAAATATATATTGTCTTATATATATACCATATGTTAAATAAATGAATGTTAAATGCATGAATAATTTACAAATTATTTGTATAATGAATATGTAGAAAAAAATCGAGGAAGATCAATTCTTTATTTACAAAAAAAAAAAAAAAAAAAAACTCAGAAGTATAGAAGAACATTGTGATTGAAATAGAATCCTATCAATAAACCTTGAATTAATCTATTTTACAGAGGGCAGAATTGCATGTGTATGGGTCCTTCTTATGACATTATTATTCCTACTTTGCAAATGTTTGTATGACTGTACAGATTGTATAAATTTAGCAACATCAATGGTATAATGGTTGATCATGTTGATTGCCAATAAATATGAAGATAACCGATCTCAGAATTAATGTTTTAAATATATTAAATGTTATGTACGAAAAATGTCATTATTTGTTAACAAATCGAAATATATTCTGCAATTTTTCAATTACATTATTATAATAATTATTAATATTTAAATAAAGAAAATGAATATGATATAGAATAAAAAATTTACTTCGTTAATATTGCAGTATGTTGAAGCATCATGGAACAGTCACTTGAAAAATGTTGACAGTATATAGCAAGTAGTAGGTCTTACGTATATACTGTGATATACGTATCTCACGGACACTGTTGTACTGCATGCTGAGTACATGCGTATTAAGGGGTGAAGAGGAAGTACCACACACGTATACCGCAAATCAAATAAATGCACACATTCGTACACGCGCATATAGTCAAGACACTAAGATAATGTGACATCTATCCCAAAAATATCGAATCAATGCATATTTTACATATTGTCCTACACCAAATAGTTTTTAGATATATAAATAAATACGAATATTTTCATTCTATAAGAACGTCATGAATTTATCCTAGATTTTTGACTGATAAAATATATCGGAAATACCGCAAGTACTTGTCATGCGGAGATGCATGAATAACAATACCTACTTAAAGTTCTGCTTTCGCATAGAAATGTAAGAAATTTGTTCAGATATTAATAGTTTCATTACCTCCGATATGGTTTCGGTCATATTAGCTTTGCGATGCACTGACAAACAGCACTCGTAATTCCTTAGTCAGCCGGTACTCACATTTGTGTTGCAGAAAATCGCCCGACTACACCCAAATAACCACCATTTTTTTTCACTAAATAATGCGCACTCTTGCGGTGCTATGCGTTAGATACGATCAAGTTATAAATTTATGCCGTATACACAGAAAGCAGTATGTCATACATTGAATCCTGATTCATTGAAAATTGTTTTATAAATTTTATTTCTTGACATATTAATCGAATATTTTATTAATTAATCGTATATATATTAAAACTTATTTAGTAAATAAAAAATTATTTTATAATTGATTTATTTTATACATTGTAAAAAATTTTTCTTTATCACTTATATAATTAAAATTTAATGCAATGTGCATATATTTACTTAAAATTTTTTACATAATAAAAATTAAATAAATAAAATTATTTAAAAATTAAATATAATTTACACATGGAAAAATGTATTTTGAAGTATAGAAATTATGTAATGCACACATAACGAAGTTGTGGATATTTAAAATAAATCTTCTACAGAAAATAAAATTATTCAAGTTTGAACTTCTATAATTTTTAAGACATAAAGATATATTTTAAGAAACATTTTGTCAAACATCAAATAAGTTTATTTTTTTATGTGCATGAAATTATTATGAAACTAAAACTTGTTAATTATGGAGATAGAGATGTTTCATGATGTTTCTTCATATTACTACTTGGTGGCACTTTCATCGCATGCAATTTCTATATTGGTTACACTTTCTATTCTATATTCTTTATGAAATATATTACACTCACCTGATAGTCTGTAGTAGCCTGCGGACATGGTTAACTATGGATTGTTACATTATGTAGATACAACTATAAAGATTTAAAGCTAATAACGCTTTTTGTGTTTGTGTGAGAATATCACAGAAAAATGACTCGCACAGTGTCATCGGATTTTTAAAAATTAATGAAACTGAAAAAACGGAAGAGTCTGTGCGCGCAGTGCGTGAATATGCCCGCCAAGGTCTCAAAGAAGGTCGTGGGCATGATCGTACGAAGCCGAAAATTCATTATTAAGGATGGGGTCATTACGGTACTAAAATATTTAATTTAATATCTATTAGATTTTTTAGTTATTTTGATATTTTTCTATATATTTTTTCTGATTTCATATTTAAAGTAAGTATTTTTGGCTCGGTGCATGATAAATTCTAACGACAATTATTATGTTTATTTTTGACAATGAATTATAATAATGAATTAAAAAATTTTACAAAGCGCAACTTGTTTATGAAACTTTTCATCAATATAAAAATTATGTGAGTTTTATAATTATAACATTGATATATAACTAACTTTTGTCCATTTTCGTACATATATATATTAATAAGTTCATTTTTATATGGAGAATTACAAAATATAATTATATATTTTTTATAGATAAAATTTAATTAAATTTTTTAAAAGTATAATAATTTTATATGCTTTTATTTTAATCTTATTTCTTATGATTCTCTTTAAATGGAGAACAAAATATTAATATAATCTTATTAATATTTAAATGATTTGAACTTCTATTCAAATTTTTCAATATTTTATAATTAATGAAATAAAATTTGCAACCAGCTTCTTTGTTTCATTTTAATTTTATAAAATGATTTAAAATGTTTTTCATGTATTAAAATATAAAATATTTACTATATTTTTTCAATTATATTATATTTTTTATTTAAAAGAATATTTATAATCGTTTTATAAATATACGGAAAATTGATTTTAAATATTACTTCCTTTTTTTGTTTGTTTTCTACTTTTTTGATTAATTAAAATTTGTCAAAATAAAAATTTGACAATTATTATGTGTAATATAAAAAGAATAATGTATGTTTCATGTTAAATTTTATAGAAAATGTTTTTATTTATATCTCTTTTATTTTTTGATGTTTTCTTGTTTTTGTTGAGACATTCAATAAAAAATATATTTAAAAAAATGCAATATAAATATTTAATATGAGAGGCAGAGAAAAAAAGAAACAATATTTAATTTCAAAATAAAAAAGAAGATAAATATATGCTTGTAAAAATAACTTAGTAATTAATAAATTCAAATTTATATAAGTTTTAATTATGAATATAAAAAAATATATTACTAATTTATAATAATTTTTGAGATTATATTTATAGCATTTAAAAATAAAAAACATGAAATTCAATATATGATAATAATTTATCAAGTATCACATAAATCGTGCATTTATAAAAATAAACATATTTTATTCTATTCCAAAATATTTTCGTCTTTTATTAGAAACACATTAAATTCATAATTTCTTTTTTATATTAGCAATATTATATATGTACAAATTCTTCGAATAATATCGTACTTGCGCATATTGATCAGTTGCCAACAATGTGTAATTCGTATAATTCTTTTTAAACACAAAATATATAATGAAAGAAATCTATAATCATGGAATATTTTTTAAAATTGATTAATTTTTTATTCCAGTATAATTTATTTATATTCAAAGAACACAAAATATCGTTTCATTTTACTAGATTTTTAGGTTAGATTCAATTTAAAGTAATGAAAGAGCGATAGTTAGATGTCGTAAAAAGTGAGGCTTTGGTGATAGAGTTGCAATGCAGTGATTTAGATTTTTATTCATATAATTTTTGATAATTACATTGAAAAAAAAATAAGAATAAAGAATGAAAAAGTTACATAGCTATTATGTATTTTTGAGAATCTTAATGAAGAGGTGTTGACAATAAGTTATGATATTAAGAAATATCAAATACGAGAGAAATCATTCTATCCGATATATTACTGATCGTACTATTTTGTAATAAATATTAATTTAACGTTTCACTATACAAGTTGAAAAATTAAAATGTCATATATTATTTCTTATGACAATTTTTAATATTAAAGAAATTATATATAATTTGCTGAATAATAGATTTTTTTAAAAATCTTATCGCATTACTTATTAGATAATAAGTAATAAATTGAATCATGTATGATAAAAACATGATAGTTTTTTTTAAAAAAAGAAGAAAAGTTTGAAAACATTCGAAGAAAATGTTCAAATGGCGCTATATAAAAAGAAAGAAATTTTTGAAATTTTTTTGGACTTTAATTTGTTAACAATGTAGTAATTTGTTAACAATCTTTAAACAAGCTGCCCTTAAAAAATATAGATTATAATGTGATAAGAATTTCAAAATGTTTTGAAAATGCTGTACACAGACAAAAAAGTATATTTTTAAGATATATGTTCATATATAGATTTTGTTCAATTTTAATAATTTTGGCATAATATTTTATATATTTAAAAGATCTTGTGTCTTTATATTGCTGAGAAATGTAAAAAGAGAAATAAAGAACAGATTTATGCTTATGAATAAACAGATTTATGTTTTAGTGAAAGAAATCCACTAAAAAAAAAAAAAAAATTATTAAAAATTAAACAAAAATAAAAATTATAATAATAAATATTTGTAAAATTATTTAAATAAAGAAAGTCAAATTATAATACCATAAAAAATAAAAAATCATATTATATATTCCTATATGTTCCTAACATAATTTTTAACTTTTTGTTAATTGCACAAATTATGATAATAAAGAAAATTAGTTTATATTATGAAAATAAGAAAGAAGCTTGTTGCAATTAATTAAATTATTTTATATATATAGTTGAGAATAATATAATCTATATAAATCTGTAATATAATTATAAAAACTATAAAAATAATAAGAATATGCACAAATTGTTTCTTAAACAAAATGATATGTGATATAATAAAAAATATATATATGCAAAATTAAGTATATTCATAAAATAATATAACAAAAATAGAATTTTGAATAAAAGTTAATACAAAAGTTATAATTAAAGAAATATAAAATAATAAATTATTTGTGAAAATTAGATTGAATATTTGAAGATGCAAAATTGAGATAATCCTAAGTCATGGTTATTCATTACAGTATTATATGGAACTGAACAACTGATAAATGAAAAATTGATAGGATCATAATATGGAAAGAAATATATATAGTAGCACTTCTTAGGGGTCATGCCCCCTGGGGCAAAAGGTGGAGCAGAGGGCCTGGGCCCCTCTTGTTCTGAAATTCACAACAGCCAAGAACATGCTATTGCTAAACTCACACCTCCTCTTACATTTGCTCAGCAATGCTACAGACATCTTAAGGTCAGCTGTCACAATTTGTCAAAATGCTTATAGTTATTGGTAAATTAAAAAAAAAAACTTTTGATATCATCATATTTGTATAAAAATGATCTTTTTACTATTTCATATTTACTGGGTATAGCAAATAGATATCATGGCTGCTTATGAACTGTTTAATATTAATAACACAAGAAGAATAAATTTATATGTTTTATTATTTTTATTTTACAGAGTTCCGGTATTGGAGAGGCAAGTGTGTACCATGCTCTGATTGTAATATTTTTGGAATTTTTTGCATGGGGTTTATTAACCATGCCTGTTATCTCTGTATTAAATATCACATTTCCAAATCATACGTTCCTGATGAATGGTTTGATAATGGGCATTAAAGGAATCTTGTCATTTCTTTCTGCACCATTAATTGGTGCTTTATCTGATGTATGGGGTCGAAAATTCTTTTTACTCATCACAGTAGCCTTCACATGTGCGCCGATTCCTCTAATGAGCATTAATACATGGTGGTTTTTTGCTATGATCTCCATCAGTGGTGTCTTTGCTTGCACATTTTCAGTGGTGTTTGCATATGTTGCTGATGTTACTGAAGAGCATCAAAGATCTCCAGCATATGGTATGGTTAGTATCTCATTATTAATTTTTTTAAAAAATTTGTAATATAATAAATAATTTATAATATCTATTTTTTAAAATAAATTTAATTTTTTTAGGTATCAGCAACTTTTGCTGCAAGTATGGTAATAAGTCCAGCATTAGGAGATTATATTATGAAAGAATATGGAGAGAATCTTGTGGTTGCATTAGCAACTGCTATTGCAGTGTTGGATGTGTTTTTTATATTAGTGGCTGTACCTGAAAGTTTGCCTGAAAAAGCTCGTCCACCAGCACCTATATCTTGGGAACAGGCAGATCCCTTTGCTTATCTTGGAAAAGTAAATAATTTTTTACATTATGTGATATATAAAAAAAATTTATACTTAAATTTATATTTAAAATCATTCCAAATTATGAAAAATCATTTCAAGTGAATTTATATTTAAAAATAAATATTTTTCAATTAATATAAAATCTTGCATTCTATTTTAAACAAAAAACAAAGTGTTTAAATTAATTATAGAAATAATATTGTAATTTTGTAGAACAACAATAATAACATGATTAAAATAAAAATTTGAATGTAATTATGATATTTTAGGTTGGCAAAGATCATACTATTTTAATGTTGTGTATTACTGTGTTCCTGAGCTATCTTCCTGAAGCAGGACAATATAGTTGTATATTTGTCTACTTGACTAAAGTTATGGGATTTACTGCTTTAATGGTAGCAATTTTTATTGCTGTGGTGGGAATTTTAAGCGTCGGAGCTCAAAGTGTCTTAGGTCCTTTAATAAGAACACTTGGCAGTAAACACACCATAATGTTAGGTCTTTTATTTGAGATGTTACAACTTATGTGGTTTGGCTTCGGTTCACAAACATGGTAACATCTTGTTTATAATAAATATTTATAATTTTATAAACTTTTAATTTTTGAAGTAAAATATAAGAAAAATATTATATTTATTATATTTTATTGCAATATATTTTTGAAAAAAGATTTTTATGAATTCTGATCAATATTTTTCTAATTTTAAGGATGATGTGGGCAGCTGGAGTACTTGCTGCAGTATCAAGTATTACATATCCTGCAATTTCTGCATTCATATCTATGCATTCTGATGCAGACAAGCAGGGTTTGGTACAAGGCATGGTAACTGGAATGCGTGGATTATGTAATGGTCTTGGGCCAGCAATGTTTGGAGTAATCTTTTATCTCTTTCGCGTTGATCTCAACGATAATTCTTCTTCTCTCCCTGCAAAACCATCTCCATTAGAGGAAAATAATAAGACAGGAACTGCCACGCAACATCTTGATATTATGCCACAGATAGTAACCCAGGTAAATTTAAACAAAACAAATAATTTTTAAGAAATACTTATTAATGATCGATTATTGAACAGTCGATTAATTAATCATTTAATCTAAAATTATAAAGAAATTGATATTTTTAGCTTGTACCAGGACCACCATTTGTGTTTGGTGCATTACTTGTGATATGTGCATTACTAGTAGCTGCATTTATACCGGAATCAAACACAATGCCAACAGGTCCATTACATCATCCATCCACCTCCCGGAGGCCCTCCGGTAAATACGCATATCAGAAATGTACGTTAAAGGTTGTCAGTTATGTTAAAATTCAGATGTATTTTTTGGTGGTGGGTTTAAAATTAAGATTTAAAATTACTTTAAATTAACAATAATAGTTAATAATAATATATTATTAATATATCATTTTTATATAAAATATAATTATTAAACAAATAATCAAGAAATGAATCTTTTTACATTTAATTAGATAGAATCGATATTTTTAATTTTTTAAAATTAAATTCCAATTTTTTAATAAAAATAAAATTTTTATATATATGATATTTCAATATATGTAATATTATGTGTATGTTATTGAAAAAATGACAGCAATCTATTAGTAATATTAATTAATCAAAAATATAAAAATATAAATTTTTATTGATAGATAAATTATTTTTTAATAGAACCTAATACAATTATTCTATTATTTATTGCTGATAGATTGTAGATTATATTATGAAACTCATATATTTTTATTTGTGATGACTTATTAAATACAAACGATAGAATTGATTCTTAGAAATTTAAAAGAGTAAAAATGAGATTGCTCGTTCAAAAACTATTGTATTTAATTATTAATGTAATTAAAATACATCTATATTTTATATAACATACATACATACATATAATTCAATAAGAATTTTTCGTATGTATCATACGCGTATTTACGCATATTTATATATACAAATTTATATTAAAACTTTGTTATAATTTAAGGTTTATCCTTGGATGTACATTATGAAGGAGATAAATTGGGAAGTGGGAAAGGAAAAATAGGGCCGCTGTCACCTCTAGTCGACAATTGCAACTCGGCTGCTCTATAGCTATTGTGAAAATTAAAGAAAAGAAAAAAAGAAAAAAAGAAAAAAAGAAAAAAAAAAAAAAAGGGAAAGAAAGAAAAGAAAAGTACCTTCATGACGAAACTCTCTATAGTTAGAGAAATGGTTACTATCAAGTGCACCTGCTACACACAGACTTTAAGAAAAAGAAAGCTGTCTATATTGTATTATATTATATCTTTAAGTCAATAACTGAGATTGATATTAGGATTATCAATCTATTTAATGTTTAGGTTATGAGAAGTTTTTACAAGCAGTGCTTGTTTTGATGACATTTAGGTTGAATTGAACATTACGTTCGATATTTTTTTAGGAATTTTGTTATATAAAAAGTTGAATTTTCACTTTTTCCAGAAGAAAAAAATTGTAATATTAACTTGTACCAAGTGAAGCATTGGATATCATTTATCAGTGACTCCTAGTTTGTGTAGTTCGTCGATGCGATAAAACGAATGAAAGTTGTAATCAGTATTTTTTATTAGACTTATAACAAAAAAATTATGTAACTTTTTATGCAAAAATCATTTTTTATTATGTATAATATTCATCGCTTATTAAGATCACATAAGAGGCAACTTTTTTAATTTAGACAAGAGCACTTGTTACTTTGATCACAAGTATTATGAATCTTCAGTTTAAGATATTTTCTATAACACTTTTGTGATTTGGCAAACAAAATATTTATTTGCATTTTTTGTTTTATTTTTTATGCATTTCTTTGTTTTAAATATATTTTTGATTTAATGAGGAAAGAAAAGTGCAATAGTTGCCGAAGAATGTTAAAAAGACGTTGTAAATGAAACTTTACATAGCTGAAATAGGAAATAAGTTTCCAATTGCATATAATATCTAGTAAGAGTTAGCTGATGTTTGTAAAGTATGTTAACTATTTTCTTTGCATAAAATATTTATTTTAATAATTAGACATCAACAGAATGAATGGCCTTAATCAAAGAAAAAAAATAAAAAACAATTTATATGAAATTATACTTTGCCATTTGAGTGGTAAATCTTGATCGATAATGTTACAAACATTATTAATTGAGTGCTTAATGGCATTCCTCAAATGTTAAAATATGCATGTTATAAATTGGAGTCATTGATGTTAACAAAATACAATAGCGTAGTATATTTGTGCATTTTACTTGTACTTTATAAAAAAAATTAGTATCTGCAAAACTGTATGCATTGCCATAGCCTAAATAACTCTCTGAATTTGAAATCTGCCAATGAATTTTGATTTTAATCTAAAATTTACACATCATTATGATTTTATAACACATTGTAAGATTTTGAAATGAACAGTTTCGTTATTTATACTTTTTTTCAGTTATGTATACAAAGTTGCTATCATTTATTATGAATTAATTAACAATAAAAGAGCATGTTCAAATCCCATTGAAAAAAGAATGATTAGTAGCAGAAATTCTATTCAAGAGTTGTAATATTAGAAAATAGTAAGAATTTATGAAATTATGGTGCAATGCGTGAGCAAAAAATAAAATTTTGTATGATCTCATTTTTCTCCAAGAATAATATTTTTTAATCAGAAAAGATGTAAATAAATTGCACTATAAATTTTTTTTTGTAAAAACTCAACTAATCAATTTGTATGAAATTTTCGATTAGTACTATTCCGTTTGGAATCAATTTTAGCATTGAAAAAATGCTATGCATATCGAAGTATAATCTTCTTTTTATATCACTCTTAAGATTAATTATGGAATAAAATTCCATTATAATTGTACAATAAATATATGTAAAAGAATTATTAAAAATATTGAGTCTAATAATAAAAAAAATATTCAATAAAAATTTTGAGAATATACAATAAATTATTTACATTAGATTTCTTGGAGAATATAGATACCATATGCAATAATTTTATATTTCTGCTTGATTTGAAAGATATTTATTAAAATTTGCTCTTACACACTGAAATACATTAACATTATTGTAATATAACATTGCAAAAGAAATGAAAGAATAATAATATAAAAAAGTCCAGTTTAAGACTTAATAACACCTCAATAATTGTATATGTACAATGTATGATGGATGCATTAATAAAAATAATTATTTTTAAAATATAAGAAAGCATGTTCTATAAATATATAAATACTTATATTTATTTGAAAATAATTAAATTTAATATTCATATAATTATTTTATAATATGATCGTATTTCGATATTTTACTACAATTTTGCTTATAAAATATTCTTAAATATTTTATGAAATAGTTGTTAATATTGAACCACTCTGTTGCCAAGATTCAATTGCTTTGTTAACAATTACTTCAGAAGTTTCTTCCGTTATCTAGAATAAAAAGATTTATTTAAAATTAATCATTTTTTGCATTTCATACTTGTATGAATAAATATACATATATAGATATTTTCATACATTAGCAATTGTATCTAAAATACCATCAATATTTTCACATCTCATTAGAAGTCTTCTTAGAGTTGTTAAAGTAACTACAGTAACAAAGATTAAAATTCTATATGCACCTACAGCTATTTTATCCCATATTCTGTAACAAATAAATAACATACATTTTATGATATATATTTTTTTATTTTAAATACATTAAATATATATACTTTGCAATAGAACCATTGGATATTGTTCCTGCAAAACATGAAGAAAACCAAATATCATATGGAATATTATAAAGCGCTTCTATTTTAACAAGATGCTTGTACAATTCTGGATCTTCTCTTTCCAACAAAGTACAAGTACATTCTTGTAATCTATTAATTTCTTTATGAAATCTTTGTACTTGATCTAAAAATCCACATAAAATCCAATATGTATCTACAAGCTTTTCTTCATATGAATCTATGTCAATAATGTGCCACAGTGTTTCAGCCATTCTGTTCATTGCTCTAAAATAAGAATAATTAATAATGAGTACAATAATTTAATAAGTTATGATTAATAATTATATTTAATAAAAAATTAAAGACCTATGTAGAGGAAATTCTAATTGAGTATTCATATCAAGTTTTGCTCTTCTAGTACGTAATAACCACATAGTGAGAAACATTAAATGAGGTTTCGTATAATCATCTAAAATCTTTGCAATTTTTAAAGCTTTTTGTAGATCCTGAAATTCTGCTTTTCTTTGATTTATTATAAATTCATGACTTTCTACATAAATTGGTATTATATCCAGTAATACTTTCCAAAGAAAATTTCTATATATAGCAGGAACTGTAAATCGTAAGCAGAACTGTTTCAGTTTTGCTTTGTCAAAAGGATGTTCTTTAAGTAATATTTCCAATGATCTTTTTTCTTCAACGCTACGAAATCCTACCTATATTTTAATTATATAATTGAATAATAATGAATAATATACTTTTAATTATTTGTGATATTTTTTTCTAACCTAAAATCATAAGAATTGTTTAACATAAGTTTAAATGTACCTTTTCATAATAAGATGAACGAAAATTTCGTTCATCAGTCATTTTTTATCAATTTTTAAAATTTATGAATAATTATTTCAAATCATTTTTCCGTATTTAAATTGAAATATTTAGGAAATATAAAAGATGTGTAAATGTTTTTACGTATCTTTTTTTTTGATTTTAATTTTATTTTCTTGAAATGCTTATATTTATCAATAAATTTATTTCTTATTATATAAAATCAGATTCGTATAAATAATATATAAATATATACAGCTCAAATATCTATATTACAAATAAGATATACAATAATATATCTAATAATTATAGGGAGTTTGTCCTCTATATTTTGAAATCTGATTGTTTAGTAATATATCAATAATTATAGGGATTTTGTTCTCTATATTTTGATTGTACAAAAAAAAAAGTATGTGTATGCTTTCTATAATTTGGACAATACGAATATAAAATAAAATATACAAGTATTCAATTCAATTATGTTGATAAAGCAACAATTTTTAATAATTTCTTTGATAGATATTTTTATAAATTATATGTATATTTATATATTATATGTATTGGATTCATAGATAATTAATACGGATAGTAAATAGATTTAAATATAATAAATATAAATATAATAATATAATAAATTTTAATAAATATAAATATAATAATATAATAATAAATATAATATAAATTGAATTATTTATGAATTAAAAATTACTCTCATATTTTTTTTATTACAACACAATGAAAATAATATTAATTTGAGATTTTTAAAATATAAAATAAAGTATAAAAAAAAAAGTAAAGTATAAAAATAGATTTAAATATAATATTATTAAAGCAAAATTTATTTTTTATATTTCTACTATATAATTAGAATAATATTTATACAATATAATAAAACATTGAGAATTTTTTGAAAATTTAATAAAAAAAACACTTTATTATTAAAATGATATGGAAATCGTAAATATTATTATATATTGCTTATATGTCATTATATTTTCGAGGTCGACTCCTCCCTCTAAGGTATCCTCATGTTAACATCAATCTCATGATATTTTTTATTATTTTAAAAATTTTTTTAAATTAAAAATTTATATATATATATTATATTTCAATTATCGCGCAGTTAAAGTGAATAGAAAACATTATTCTAGTTAATTTAAATTAAAAAACATTATTCTACATTATTCTAGTTAATCAAAAAGCCGTTAAAATCTAGAAACAAGAAGAATCAATGCGCATTATAATGCGCATATTATTAATCTAAAAAAATCATGATAATTGCATTTCATCTGCAAAAGTATATAATTACATAAAATTTTTATTAATAAAATATTATTGTAGGTTAATTATAGATTTATTATTAAATCTTATTTAATATGTGTTTAATCATGTGTATTTAATCATTATATCAGATCTCAATATTTTTTTGATAGATTTGATAGTTTAATTCAAAGATAAGATAGCTTTGAAAGTCTAATAGTTTTTGCATGTATTATGGCAAGAGGTTTTTATGCAAATATGGTAAGATTTTATTTATTTTAACTTTTTATTTTTATTTTAACTCTTTATTTACGTAGAGATGAAAATAGTTAAATCATTATAATCAATTCATTTATGTATATATTTCATATATATTCTCATATATTTCTTTAATTAAATATATTTTTACATTGAATATTTATGTAATTTGTATAATATATTTTAATTTTATGTTTAATTCAAAATTAACATTGAAAACATTTCTTATAATTTAGTTTTTTCGAAATTGACACGTTTGTCATATTCAATGTATTCTAATTTAATTCTAAAAATATGAATATCTTTCTTCTCAATTTTAATAAATCGAAATTGTTAGTATGTCATTCGATTGTCAAAAATCGTTAGATACTGTGTTTTTTATAAAAAAATATGTGATTTTATAAAAAATAATGAGCTAGCTATAAACGTGATTATATTTTTCGTAGATAAAAATTTTATTAAAGTGATAGATAATATTTTCGTTTCAATTTATAAATCTTATGAACTTATGAAGTACTTATGAAGTACTTATGAAGTAAGTTATATATTTATAAATTTATGAAATATAAACATAGATTTTTATTTTATATTTTTTAAATAATTTTATTATTTATACTATGTTAGATTATAGTATGTTAAATAGCATAAAAAATCTTTTATCTTTTTTGAATTTGATATTTGAGAATATGTGATATAAAATTCTGTAAAATGTGATGTTTATTCTTTTTCTTGTATGTATCAATTAACAATTATTTTCTGCTGTTGATACAGAAGATTTCTTCTTCAGCAATAGTCTTTTCAAGATAGTGCTGCTATCGCAATGAAAAAACAAACTATTATTTAATTTTCTATTTTATTTTTAGTGAAATATATTATAGAATAAATTTCAAGCAATCTATGAATATTTCATTAAAAAATCTTTTATTTTAAAATTTGCTAATAATTTAACAAAATTAATAATTGAAAACAATCGAAAAATGATATATTCTGATATAAATGATATATAAAATCATAAATTTCGGTTATTTCATTAATCTTATAATTAATTAATTTTAAAATATTCAAATCTTATTTGAATAATCCTATTAGAATACAATATTTATAATTTAAGATTAATTTAATTGATTATCTTTTAAATTGATAAATTTTAATTTGTGCATCGTGGTTTAGGAAGATCGTGAAGTATATGAATATATAAGTATATTATGAATTTTTTAGAAGATTATTTTTAGTTAATGATTTTTAGTATTAATTTATTTTAATATAATTATATTGTCATTATATATATATATATATATACACACGTATATGTATATATTCTTTTATTTAATTTAAAGAATGCTATTAAACATTTCGCGGCGATAAAACTATATATAAAACTATATTAATTATTTTAAATTTTCTAACCTTATAGAAAAACTTTATGGAGAAAGATGTCACATATTTTTTAAATATTACAGAAAAAAAAATTACAATAGAAAATACATATATAAAAATCAAATCGCATAATATATATAAATCTTATACGATCAAAAAAACGATAATTATACTTCTTATCCATTAAAAGATTAATAAAATAATTTTAGATAATTTAGATAAAACATTTTAGATAATTTAGATAATAAGATTTGATTTTAAATTTTATCAAATATATAAAAATTATCTTTATTAAAAATTTATAATTATAAAATTAAAAATTAAAAAATATAATTATAAACAAATTTTTAAAGAACCACATATATTATAATATTTCATCACTTTAAATAAAGGATAATGAAATAAGCGGAATAAAATTTTGTGGTTTCAGTTTACATGTTCATATATTTTGCTAGCATAAAAAATAAAACATGGCACAATTGTTAGGAATTCGGTATACGAAACAATTTCATGGATGAACTCGAGGAACTTGTTTGTTTCTTGCATCTGCATACAACTTTTCATCTTTTATTATGCAGATATACACGCGTATAAAAAGAAATACAATGAGAAGTATATAAGGTATATAAAATTCGTTCAGCAGTAATAAGGAAAACATGAAATAGTTTTTCACTTGATCAATATAAAAAATATTTTGAGTCAACTTGCAATTTTTTCTTTAATCTTTTTTTGACAAAATATATATATTCCGATAAATATTTCTGATTTTTTATATTATAATAAAAAAAAAAAATAAAATAATTAATCATCCCACAAAAGAACAAGTATTATTAAAAGAAATAATAACTGTTTAATTATATTCTATTTTTATTGGTTAATTACTATATAGATATTATATCACATATTATACTATGCATATAACATTATATGTATAGTATTCAAATTGATTTTTCAATTTTCAAATTTAATTTTATTCTCAGTTTAGCATTATCGATTTCTAGAAAAAGAATAAAAATTAAAAAAATATAATTCTTTATAAAATAGATTTCTTTTATATTTTAAAATTTTTTTGTATTATAATAAAAATTATAATCGATTAACTATTTTTCAATTTAATTTGAAAATTAAAAAATAATCATTATAATAAATAAGCTAATCTGTTAATAAAATAAAATAGTAAATACAGTAAAAAATTAATATATAATAAGAAGATAAAATAAAATTTAAAAAGTTTTAATAATAAAATAAAAAATATAATATAATAATATATATATAATATATATATAATATATAATATAATAGTCACTACATATATATTATATGAACTGAATAAAATTATATATTATTATTTCATTTTCATCATTTATATTTGAAAAGAATTTTTGTTTTGTAAAAATATATATGTAAATAATTTAATATATTTATATTGTAAATATTTTAATTGACTTGTTTAGATATATGTTAGATATATAGATGTTTAGATATATTTATTTTGCGATTGATTAAAAATTTAATCTACTGAGTTGAATCGCAGATTTATAGCTGATATAGAAAATTAGGTTAGATTAGGTTGAAAAGAAAAACTCTTCAGATATGATGAAAAATAATAAAAATGATAGAAAGTGATAGAGAGATTACCTGTTTAAATTTAACTTGAGAAGATAAACAATTTCATTCACAAATAATGATGAATGCAAAATGGCAATGAGTTTGCAATTCCAAGTTTTTAGTAAGCGTACAATTACGAGGCCCTCGTTTATCGTGTAATGCAAAACTCATGAGTGTGATGTTCATAATTGCAGTTTACTAATTAAATTTCCACATTCCGTGTCGTTCCATATCATTGTTTCTCTTTTTTTTCTCTTCTTTTTTCTTCTCTTTTTTCCTCTCCTCCCTCCATTTCATAATAACTGTGTGAAATTGCACTTCTAGATGCAACGCAATTCTGCGATATGATGTTGTGTCGGTTATAGTGGACTTACAATTCGTTCAAACAATGCGATTATTTAATTAAATTATTCATTTTGAATTTATAGTATAGTATATTAGTATTCAAAAGAAGCGTTCATACGACTATATCTTTAATTAATATTTAACGTTCAAGTGTATATTTATGTTCTTCGTTTAACAAAATATTAAGAATCGTGATTTTAAATATTATTAATTTGATAAAATTATTGAATAAAAAATGAGTTGTAAGATGATTTTGAGTGATATTTAAGAATTAATATTTAGAAAATATTGGATTATTAGA